TGTCCCTATAGGTCGTATTTATAGATTAGGCCTAATGTAGGAAGTATATATGTATATGACCGGTAAACATATTAAGGTTTATCAGTTTGGCAAAAACAAAAAACTATTATAGGTACGCGCTATTCTAATTAAGTAAATGCATGCATCATTAAAAATTCAATGTAAATTTGTAATGAAATTTACACGCAAGTGTCACTAGTAAGTACAAGTGTTTTATTAAAAAATATATTAAATCAAAATCAAAATTTTTTTAAATTTGTCTTGTTATTTACTAACCAAATTTTTCTTCAAAAACGTAGCTATAGGAATAATATAAAGTTAAATAAAAGTATGCAAAGTATACTTGATCATGATATAATTTTAATTTGACAAAAACCACCTTATGGTAATTTTCCTTCACAGTGCAATAAAGTAATTTTTTTTTAAATGATAGTTAAACTGACTGCATTTAATTGCAAACACGTTTATTTACTAAATACCAAAAATTGAATTTATTTGATTTAATTATTTTTGTGTTTATTTGTACATTTTAGTAAACAAAAATATTTTTAATAATATCTAATAATTTAATAAAAAAAATCCAAAATTGGGCGTAGAGTTCGAACGCTGTAAGTTACAGCCTGTAACCATAGCTTACTATAACAAGCTTTATAAATTTATAGCTTAAGCTATAGTAACCCAGATAACATTTATGAATCATTAAAAAATCACTCGGTGATAATCATAGCGTGAGCTCACAGTGAGCTCACTAGGACATCAAATGCATTTCTGTGAAATCACCTGGACCTCACCTGGAGCTCATTGGCTGAATCATTGCTGAGCTCATCCTGAGTTCTTGATGAGATCATTTGTGAAATTAATTTCACAAATGATCTCATCAAGAACTCAGGATGAGCTCAGCAATGATTCAGCCAATGAGCTCCAGGTGATTTCACAGAAATGCATTTGATATCATGACATATGTCATAGTGCCATAATTTAAATTTATAACCTTTTTTTTCTCTGAACTATGCAAGTGCATCCCACACAGCAGTGACAGCACAACATATGTCAGAAATATTTCAGAAATATTTCAATGTTTGGCTTTTAGTCAGTGTTGTCGTTTGCGATTATTTTACCTGAAAATCGGGTATTTTCAGCAAATATTATCATTGAGTAAGTTCTTTACTCAATGATATTATTGTATATTTACCAAATTATTTTATTCTACCCTCTTACCATCCTTCAATTTTATTAATTTTTTAAAATAAAACGGATACGGTAGAAAATTTATAAACAAAACATTTTTCTTACCCTGGCAAGTAAAATAGGGTATTTTGTTATTTTTGGTCGGGAACTTTTATGAAATTCATCCGGCAACACTGCTTAAAGTGACGCTTTCTTGTGTAACGGTTTTTTTGTTCTCTAAATAACAATAATAATAAAGAATATTGTGTATGGTGTAAACTTAAAGGAAAAACGTATAAAAAAAGAAGTACCCACTCTGGTAAGTACCTACATATTAACAATGTTTTTCTATGGTTTTGACTTCACTCCAGTACGCTCAAAAACATTTAGGTTAGGAGGCATTGCCGAGGCAACTCTAATCATATTATACCCACAATCCACAATGTGGATTGTGATTATACCTACATTTTTCTTGTTTGTGAATTTTTTAATAACAATCCAGATCAAAATTTTTACACATGCAGTTTTAAATAAAATTGAAAAAGAGTTTAGTAACCCTGTATACTTTAAAAATGTTGTAAGTGTATTTTTATTATTTTGATAACATTGACTTAGGTAAATATTTGTTTTAGGTTATTTTCCTAAAAGGAATCGGGAAAGGCACTTCTGTAAATGATGCCACTACAAAAATTTTAAATCATTTGGTGAAAAATGAAGTAGCTGTACAGTCCACATTTGATGGGTAAAAAAAACAAAAAGGGTTTTAAAGAACTCATACTTCACAAAGTAATCTTAAGTATGTAAATTAAAGAGATATTTAAAATGAATATTACATTTCCCTGACCTCCTGAACTCCTTCAGGGATATTTTTCCTGCCTTAAACAATTTCATCCGAACATAAAGTCTCGTGGATCATGGAAATTGGCTCTATTTTTTAATTTGTCTTTATTCCAATGGAAACATTCTACCTATGTAAGCAATTCTAGATCCATTGCTTTGGCTCGAGATCTGCATAACGTTTCCAAAAGAATACAAACAAATAAAAAAATAGAGCCACATTCTATGGGTGTTCTCTTGAGAAGTGTGTTTAATTTTACTTATTAAATTTTGTATAGAAGGTATAGGGAATGTGCCCATCTTTCTATAAAAGAAACTTCCTGATTTGCTTTACTATCAGCTAATGCTAAAATTATAGAGTAATGCTTCTAAAGGTACTTCATATTCATAATAAATGACAGAATATAATATAATATTATGTTAAATAAAATTTTTCTGCTCTTTTTACAAAAGTGGTTTGTCTTCACTACACTGAATCAAATGAAGATGAAATCAATAAAATTATAGAGAAGTGGCTAATACAAGGCGGCTTACACATTAACAGAGAGCAAGCGTTGAGTTTAAAATTAAATTACTTCTATATACTTATAAGTAATAAAATATTCTTTTTAGAAGAAGAATGAAGTCAACATGTAAACATATATTTTTTTATTTAATTTTTAATTTAAATTAAAAGAGCTTTACAATGTAGATTTTTTAAATAAACCATATAAATGTTTTTGAGATTTTATTTAATATTCCAGCAATATTTCAGGTAATATTTTGTAAACACCATAAACAATATTTCCATTTTAATAAGCCTGAAAAATATCAAAAATATTTCAACAGCATTTTGCAATATCAATTAAATATTTCCAGGTAATATTTCTGAAACATTACAAAGAAATGTTTCCAAGGGCGGACATTTTAATAAGTCTGAAACATATCAGAGATATTTCGGCAACATTTTGCAATACCACTGCAATATTTCTAATGTTGCAATGTTATATCTAAGAAACATTTCTGACATATTTCTGTGCTGTGTTATATAACAGTGTTGCCATGGTATATACCATAAGTGTTGCCAAGTTTTGGAAATGGATTTATCTTACCAAGGCTTAAAAGTTATCGTATTTTTAAATATATTTTTATAATTAATTTATGAATTATACTTGGTTAAGGCTTTTTTGTTTATCACGAAAGTTGAGTTATCCGGCTTTAGCATTAAGAGGCCCGGGCAATATAATCAGATCATTTTTTATTACAGAAGCTGCTTTAGATCTAAAGCTGTACCAGAAAGGCCAAGGGGCAAACAGTGTTTTCTCGAATGATATAACATTTCGATTTATTAAGGGGAGCAAAACAAACTTACAGAAAGTTATTGCTCAATAAAAATAAAGAAATTTTAAATGATAGCAATTAATTGAGCAATGCGCTTACTGTACCAAAAATTAACTTGCATGTGATTATAATTCATTATGAAATCAAAGGGATGTCATTAATGATTTTACTTAAGGGACTAAAAACGTTAAAATTAATTAAAATACCTAAATATTTATTTTCTTAAATAAAATATAAAATATTTAAAACAAGTTTTTATTAAAATTTAAAAAGTATCTTGCATCTGATTATTAATTTTTAATAAATAAAAAATGTATAAAATAAAAATAAATAAATAAAATAAACTTGATATGCTAATAATTATATAATTATTAATAATTAGCATATCGAGTTTATTTTATTTATTTATTTTTATTTTATACATTTTTTATTTATAAATATATTTATTTATTTTTTATTTATAAATTAAAAATTAATAATCAGATGCAAGATACTTTTTAAATTTTAATAAAAACTTGTTTTAAATATTTTATATTTTATTTAAGAAAATAAATATTTAGGTATTTTAATTAATTTTAACGTTTTTAGTCCCTTAAGTAAAATCATTAATGACATCCCTTTGATTTCATAATGAATTCATCGTGTGACTCATTAAGGATCTCACATTGCTCATCAAAAGTGCAACACAGTGACATCACTGAATGAATCAGCAATGATTTCACGTTGATGTCACAACGAATTCATCGTGTGACTCATTAAGGATATCATGTTGCCTATCAAAAGGGGAACACATATGCGTGCCACAGTGACATCACTGAATGAATCAGCAATGATTTCACGTTGATGTCTTAAATGATGTCATAATTGTTATCTGGGAAGCCTTTGGGCAATGCATGGCTGATGACGTTGCAGTAGAACTTTACCTACACAATTACTTACTTACTAAAGAATATTTCGGTACCTTAGAATAAGAGGGTTCTAAGTGCAGTTGCCATGTTAAACAAAAATGGCTTATCTGCAATATTTAATATTTTTGATAAGTCATTTTCGCTTAACCTTGTTATTCTAAGGTACTGATTTATCGATTTCGCAAAAACTTTAAACGCCTATTTATATATAACAGTTTTAGCACATAGGTGAAGCACAAAAATTTATCAAAAAAATTGCAAATGGCAGCCATTCCAGAGAAAGTTTTTCAAAAAATATTTGATCATCGTTTTTAAACAAATTTATTTATTTTAATTAAAATACTTAAAATTACCTACCTACATTCTATAACAAATTTTTGGAAATTCAAGAGGAAGACTTTTCACTTTTTTTCTTTACATATGAAAATAAAAAAAGTGAAAGTGAATTTCCAAAAATTTGTTCGGTACAGACGGTATACGGTATAGGAGTCTCTATTTTATACTATGTACCTATGCAGGATGAAAATGTTGGCATTAAATCCAAAAAATAAAGTTATGGTTCGCTGTAGTAATACTACAAAACTTTTTGACAATGTTTTTTTTTGTTTATTTTTTAAATATATATTTCCTCTAGATTGTTGAAAAAACAAAACATATTTTTCTTAGTGTAGCACTGCAGGGTTGCGTAATGGGCGTTTGAAAAGGGCGCCGGAAATTTCGTTGCGCGATTCTTATTATCGAACTGCTGTTCTCTAAATGTGACCTGTGATAAAACTCAAACTCTAAAAACATGTCTCTAATTTTACGTTTTTTCCTTAACTTTTTTAAATACTTTAACAGAAATCACACTGTCGCATATTTATAATAGGTAAGTCCAAATAATGTCGATACAAAAATTATTTTGCGTCATTTATTATTTACTGGATTCTGAGATCTGTTGTTTAAACAGATTAAATTATAACCCTGATAAATACGATTTTTATCAATTGATAAAAAAAATTATATCTATAAAAAATTTATAATTTCTTCTTAAATAATCGTAGGTATATATCAGTGTTAATATTTAATCTATAACCTAGTATGGTTTTATATTTAAAAGAAGTTTATTAAATGTTACATATAGGTACTTAAACATATTATATATAATTTATAATTACTAGAAATAGATCTGCTCGAGCAGTTTATTCCAAATGACGTTTTTTTATAGGTAGGTAATTATATGCTTAAACAGGGTGTTCTACAAGCCATGTATATATACAATTCTATAGAATTAACCCAGCTATCATCTGCACTTGGAATGCTAAAGTTTGTCTAGAGCTTGTAGAACACCCTGCATAATTATTTTAATCTGAAATAATATCTGTGGATCTATTAACCTGTCTACACGTAAACATTATTTAATGAATATTTTATTTTTCATATTTCCACAATTAAAAAACCGTAAAGTTTTTTTTATCTGGACAGCGGCAACGTTGCAAATTTAGGGTTTTGGTTGGTAAATACAGTTAACTTGACAATTGTCAAGTTGGTCGCATAAATAAAACAAACTAAGCTAGTTATAAATCTAATTGTGGTTATGCATAAATTATTGTAGGTTACATTGTGCAGTTTTCAAGTTGAGTTGTCGAAATTCGTAGTTAAAAATGCAATTAATTTGGCTTTGGTGGTGCTTGGATGGGTAAAATCATATAAAAAAAGTAGTTAAATATAGGTTGCTTTACGGCCCAGAAGAGAAAGTATTCCTAGCAAATATTAATCTTCGCTTTGAAAAGAATTTATATAAAAGAAATTAAAATTTGTTGTGAACGTAAATGTTGTCCAATGGTGAATAATGTGAAAATAATGTGTGATGTAATATTTATAAAACCAAATTCGTTACTTTTTTACTCCAAAAATGTCCATAAGGCGATGTACTTTTTCTTCCATTGTGGCATTTGGCATAATTTCATTAAAATGAAGTTTTGCCCTCAAACGGGCTTTTACATTCGAATTCGTTGATATTATTTTTTTCATAATTATCTTTTTATTTATAATTGACAAGTAAATTATCAATAATAAATATTATTGTCAATTTGACAGTGTCAAAGTATTTAATTAAATTCTTTAGTAGAAGTGCCATTTTTAAATACTAAAAATACTAAGTCAAACTGGCATAAGCCACCAACCTAACAAAAAAACAACAGTCCATATAAAAAAATGAACTGTACATATCGGGGTAGTTTATTTATTTAAAAATAATAGTTATAAAATACCATTATCTACTATTATTTGGTTACCTATGTCAAATTTATTTAAAATAAATCTTACGTAAATGTCAAATGTTTTATCCAGATTTAGACAAAAATTATGCTAAACCCAAGAAAATTAAAAGGTAATTTTTAGTTGTTCTTCCGATAAAAATATACTTAAATAAGTTAGCCATCATAAACTTATACACATAACAATATGGATAACTTATCTAAAAAGTAAAATAAATTATAAAACTGGTTTTATGGCCCATAAAAAAGCAATTCTGCTTTCAAAAAAATGTGTTTGAAATTAAAATAATAGTTTGGGTTTAATTAACCATTTGTCATAAGACAATGGTTTGTTATATGTAAGTACGATTGAAGTTGCTTAGTTTGTGCGCTATACGAACCTAAAGTTGGACTTATTTTGGTTCAAGTGTCCTTTCGAATGGAATGGATAGCAATGAATCGCGGTGGAGGGTGCCTTCGACAATATGGTTGTTGATTTTTTTCGTTGGGCTGTTGTACTTTCTGAACGTCTTCCAGATCGAGGAGTATTACACGTACCCCACTCCGGGACGTAGCGAGAAGTTTTACGCGAAGGAGTCTTTAAAAGGGTTCCTCGTCAAAACGAAAGGGTGTAGGATACCGTACATGCACCCGATGGACAAGACAATAACTAAGTACATTTTCAAATACGATCCTCCCGTGTGCAATAATGGTAAGTACTAATTTTTTGACTTTAAGACCAACTTTAACAGACTGTAGTTTTGTTATTTTTTACCCAATTTAAAAAATAATTATATCAAATGAGAAATAATTTTATACACTTTGAAAACATACAAATATCTTAATATGCCCCAATACTAATTTTTAGAGATTACTAAAAATATAAAGTCGAGTCAATTTCAGTTCTCTTAAAATTAGACCCAACTTTGACAGTCTGTAGTTTTGTTATTATTCACCCAATTTTAAAAAGAATATTATCAAATGTTAGATAATTTTATTCACTTTTATAACATATTAATATATTAATTTGCCCCCTTACTAATTCTTCGATATTAACCACAAAACATAAAGTCGTGTTAATTTTAATCTCTTAAAATTAAGACCAACTTTGACAGTCTGTAGTTTTGTTATTTTTTACCTAATTTAAAAAATAATTATATCAAATGTGAAATAATTTTATACTCTTTGAAAACATACAAATATCTTAATATGCCCCAATACTAATTTTTAGAGATTACCAAAAATATAAAGGGTCAATTTCAGTTTTCTTAAAATTAGGACCAACTTTGACAGTCTACTGTTTTGTTATTATTCACCTAATTTTTAAATGAATGTTATCAAATGTTAGATAATTTTATTCACTTTTATAACATATAAATATGATAATATGGCCCATTACTAATTCTTCGATATTAACCACAAAACATAGTCATAGAGACTAAAATTGGTCTCTTAAAATTAAGACCAACTTTGACAGTCTGTAGTTTTGTTATTTTTTAACTAATTTAAAAAATAATTAAATCAAATGTTAAATAATTTTATACATATTGAAAACATACAAATATCTTAATTTGCCCCAGTATACTAATTTTTAGAGATTACCCAAAATATTATATCGTGTCAATTTCAGTTCTCTTAAAATTAGGACCAACTTTGACAGTCTGTAGTTTTGTTATTATTCACCCAATTTTAAAAAGAATGTTATCAAATGTTAGATAATTTTATTCGCTTTTATAACATATAAATATATTAATATACCCCATTACTAATTCTTCGATATTAACCACAAAACATATAGACGTGTCAATTTTAGTCTCTTAAAATTAAGACCAACTTTGACAGTCTGTAGTTTTGTTATTATTTACCCAATTTAAAAAATAATTATATCAAATGTTAAATAATTTTATACATTTTGAAAACATACCAATATCTTAATATGCCCCAGTACTAATTTTTAGAGATTACTAAAAATATAAAGTCGGGTCAATTTCAGTTTTCTTAAAATTAGGACCAACTTTGACAGTCTACTGTTTTGTTATTATTCACCTAATTTTTAAATGAATGTTATCAAATGTTAGATAATTTTATTCACTTTTATAACATATAAATAGAGATGGGAAAATTCCCATTTGACGAAAATTCCCGGAAACTTTCCATCGAAAATTCCCGAAATTTTCCGAAAGTTTCAAAAAAAATTTTTTATTGCGAAAATATTTTTTTTATGCCAGGGATTTGCAAAAATATATAACACATTAACTTTTTGTCAAATTTTATCAAGAAAAAAATAAAAAAAATATTTATAAGAATGTAACTGCAATACTATTTTTAGTATCTTTTACTTTGGAATATTCCTATTGTATACTGAAACCTACAAAATAAAAATTAAATGTTTACTATTAGAAATTCATTGCTAGTAAATCCTAGATATTACGTAAAAAAAATTAAAAGGGACAAAGTAACTAATATATAGGAATATTGAAAAGTAAAAAGTAAAGTTAAAAATAATTCCAAACACTAGATTTTTTTCTTGGCATTGTGCTATGCCTATAAATAAACAACAAAAATGTAAGAATGATTTTAACTTAATGGGGTAGTTAAATTTTTTCTGACCTATACTTTTTATGGTTTTATTCAAGGCGTTTTGTAATATTAAACATTTCTGTGAAATCAGAATTTCAATTGCGTTTACCGTTTTCGAGATATTTACAAAAAATATACATTTTTATGACGTCACAAACCTCGCCATGTGACCAACATTCTAAGATTTCTATTGGTTGAAAATTACCCTGTTGTCAAGTTGTCTTGTTAATGATTTCATTCGGTTATGTCAGAAAATACCCGAAGAGGTTATGTACAAATACTGTCACTGTCAGTTGAGTGAAAGAAGAAGAAGAGGAGGTTAAAGAAAATTCTGAAATTAAAAGTTTTATTGATAGGTTTACACATTGAAACACCGTGTGAAATCTAATAAAATGTAATAAATAGGTACCTAATAACTGTCTAAAGCAGAGTTTAATATATTTCATAGAAAAAAGTGGCAAAATAAAGCTGAAAATGAATGAAATAAATTTACAAAAAATAACAGTAAATGTAAGTTAACAATGGTATTTATGATATTTGTGTATAGTTTTTATAAAACTTGCATCCCTGATGATGAGCATCAAAACCTTTTGTAAGATTAAAAAAATGTATGACAAACTTTTGGACTGTTCGAAGATACTATGCTCTAGAGTACATTTTTGTACTTTTCGACAATTCTGGTTTAAATATTGCTGCAATAACGTACATAGTAGGTAAAGATAGTGCAGGGTCTACAAATAGACATTTTGATTAAAATTATTCAAACAGATGGTCACCAAATTCATTAAGTACCTATCTTCCTTATTACGAGTCCAAGATATATCTAAAAGAATATAAAGAACTAGGCATTATACGACAAAATATGATTATAATTATATGTACTTACTTTATTTGTTTAAAAGCTACAATGTTCAATGTAACCAACCATTCCACAAGATTCCTCTGCTTTGGAGTCCGTTATTAATAAATCACTTATCTAATATCAATTACAAATAACATAACAATAACATTGATTTTCAATAATCTAAATTTAAAAAAAACATAACCCGAAAAAAAGAAACGTCAAAAAATCAATTCTTCTTCTTCTTCTTAACTAAAATTTTAGATCAAGTAGTTTTAAAACTAAAATATTATAACGTGGCGCCATCTATCGTAAGAATCTTAAACTAAACACCATAGAAAAAGCTGGCAACGTTGTCAATAGCCTAGTGACGTAATTAGGAGACTTTTTTTTGTAAATATCTCGAAAACGGTAAACTCAATTGAAATTCCGATTTCACAAAGATGTTTAAAATTACAAAACGCCTTGAATAAAACCATAAAAAGTATAGGTCAGAAAAAATTTAACTACCCCATTGTTTTTATTTTGTTTACCTTTTTTTATTCATTGAGGTTATGTAACATAACTTACATTATTTATACTTCTTCTTCTGCTTTAAATTAACACACATTAAATTCTTATTCAAAGTTTCTTGGCCTTGTATCATGGCCTTAACGAAAATCAGCGGTTAAACTATTGACATTTAAATGAAAAAAACAAGGAAAGTTTCCAAGGAATGTTTCCAAGGAATGTTTCCAGTAGCTTAAAAGAAACTTTCAAAATGAAAATAAATTCCCAATTGGAAACTTTCCAAAACGGAAAGTTTCCTTAAAATGGAAACTTTCCGATTCCCATCTCTACATATAAATATGTTAATATGGCCCATTACTAATTCTTCGATATTAACCACAAAACATAGTCATAGAGACTAAAATTGGTCTCTTAAAATTAGGACCAACTTTGACAGTCTGTAGTTTTGTTATTTTTTAACTAATTAAAAAAATAATTAAATCAAATGTTAAATAATTTTATACATATTGAAAACATACAAATATCTTAATATGCCCCAGTATACTAATTTTTAGAGATTACCCAAAATATTATGTCGTGTCAATTTCAGTTCTCTTAAAATTAGGACCAACTATGACAGTGTGTAGTTTTGTTATTATTTAACCAATTTTAAAAATAATGTTATGAAATGTTAGATAATTTTATTTACTTTTATAACATATCTTAATATGCCCCATTACTAATTCTTCGATATTAACAACAAAACATAAAGTCGTGTCAATTTTAGTCTCTTAAAATTAAGAGCAACTTTGACAGTCTGTAGTTTTGATATTTTTACCCAATTAAAAAAATTATTTTATCAAATATTAAATCATTTTATACACTTCCCATACAGCACAAGATGTCCATTGGACGTCAAATGGACGTACATTGGACGTTTGGATGTACAATGGTCGTCCGATGGACGTCCAATGGATATATGTGCTGTCTGGGTTTGAAAACATACAAATATCTTTATATGCCCCAGTAATAAGTTTTTGAGATTAACTACAAAAAATAAAATCGTGTCAATTTCAGTTCTCTTAAAATTAAGACCAACTTTGGCGTGTTATATTTTTACATGCCCCAATACTAATTTTTCATGATAAACCACAAAAAATAAAGTCGTGTCAATTTCATTTCTCTTAAAATTAAGACCAACTTTGACAGTCCGTAGTTTTGTTATTTTTTACCCAACTTTAAAAATAATTACATCAAATTTTAGATAATTTTATACACTTTAAAAACATATAAATACATATTTTAATATGCCCCAGTACTGATTTTTCACAAAATATAGTCGTGTCAATTTTAGTTCTCTTAAAATTAAGACCAACTTTGACAGTCTGTAGTTTTGTTATTTTTTACCCAATTTTAAAACTAATAACATAAAGTTTTAAAAAATTTCATTCACTAAAAAATGTAAATATAACAAAAAAATACGAACTTATAACGTTAGAAAAATGTATAATTTTATGTTACGTAAATAACGTTAGGTTTCTAACATAAAATTGTATACATTTCAAACGTTAGCAATTTGTTGTGCGAACGTTATTTTCTTTTAAGGATATTGTAGTATATGCTTGTTAATTTTTTAGGTATTCCTTCTTTATACGAATCAAATTTCACCTCCTTATACCTGGTAAACTCTTCGTTGCCACACTACAACCTAACCGACACGAAAGATTTGAAATGCTGCTACCAGGAGGTGTCTCGAAGGGACGTAAAAGGACCCAAAGATAACGACAATAGTTTTTTTACAAACAAAACCTGCACAAACATCGGCGAAAGCACAAATATCGATAAGAACTACATACTGATCACATGCCGGGTGAACAAACACGTAATTTACACCGACATGTTCTGGTTCGTGCCTTCGAAAGTTAACAATAAGACGGAGATGATCAACGACGTAACCCCGCCGTTGAACGTTTTGATGGTGGGATTGGACGCGGTGTCCCGCTTGAACTTGCACCGGCAGATGCCGAAAACGGTGGCTTACCTCACGCAGATCGACGCGGTGGAAATGCTGGGCTACAACAAAGTGGGCGACAACACTTTTCCCAACCTGATACCGGTGCTGAGCGGGCTGACTGAGGGCGAATTGAAGGACAGCTGCTGGCACGGTAAGCACTTCGATAACTGCACGTTTTTGTGGAACATGTTCAAAAACAAGGGGTACATGACGTCGTTCGGCGAGGATTCCTCGTGGATGGGGCTGTTTAACTACATGCGGCACGGTTTTAGTCGACAGCCTACGGATTACGCGTACGGTTATTTCAATCGCATTTCCGAGCAGAAGGTTGGAAACGCGCACAGCATGAACGTGGATCAATGCATTGGCTCCAGGGAGGTTTACAAGGACTTTCTGGAGTATATTGGGAGCGTCACGCGGAGGTTCCGCATGGATAATACGCCGTACTTTGCGTTCTACTGGGGCGCCAGTTTGTCGCACGATTATCTCAACAAACCAAGCACAGGCGATGAGAGTTATTTGGAGTTTTTTAGGAGTTTGTACGAGGATGGTTATTTGGACAACACGGTGTTGGTTTTCATGAGCGATCACGGCATAAGGTGGGGCTCGATACGGCAAACCTACCAAGGTAGAATGGAGGAAAGGCTCCCGTTCGTGTTCGTCCGATTGCCGGATGACTACAAAAAACACCACCCCCAAATCTACAACAATTTGAAAGTAAACTCGCACAAATTGACCACGCCGTTCGACTTGCACGAAACCATGGCGGATTTACTGGACCCCTACTCCCTGACCAGCGACAACATCCACAGCAGAAACGATACGAACGATAGGGGTATAAGTTTGTTCAGCCAGATCCCCGACACGCGCACCTGCGAAACCGCCGCCATAGATGCCCATTGGTGCACGTGCCAGCAAAGCCAAGAAGTCGCCGAAGACGACCCGAAGGTGCTCGAAGCGGCCGCATTCGTCGTGCGACGCATGAACTCGCTGCTCAAAGACCTGACGGAATGCGCCAACCTCACTCTGGACGCCGTTCTGAACGCCAGAGTGATGAGCCACGCCGACGCGATCACCAACAAGAAGCACGAGTTCGAGGATTACATGATTACCGTGCGCACCGCGCCTGGGGAGGGGGTTTTCGAGAGCACCGTGCGCAGGGTTTTGGAAGGAACGGCGCACGAAATTATGGGCACCATCAGCAGGCTGAATTTGTACGGGAAGCAGAGCAAGTGCATCACCGACTTCCACTTGAAGTTGTACTGTTATTGTAAGTCGTTATTCTTTTGAGTAACGCGATTTTTCCGGTTATGCGCGCAAGATTGTGAGTGAGTACCTATTTATACAAAATTGAGTAGATGATAATGCTCGTTTTTGAATATTGCTTTACCAAATCATATTCATCATCACCATATCACAATTAATTGTACAATTATACAGTGCGATTCAGTTTTATTTTTGGGTTTAAAAGAAATTTCAGTTATTGTCTTGAAACAATTCAAATAATAAAATAAATTTTAGATTATTTTTTGTTTAATGCTTGAGGCTTTAATCCAAATCTGCATGGGTGCATGTCATATGACGTCAGCGTTAAGGTCTATTCATACGTGCCCTAACCTAACCTAACGCTAGTGCATTATTGTCTGTTTATAGCGGTGGGGACTGTTTATTAAGTTATTAAAATACCAGTTGTATTTGTCGTCAGACTTGGAGTCTGATTATTTTCCCAAATTAATTAAATCCATCAATAATATTGAACGGTGCGCGCCAGCCTTAAGCAATTTGCAACTGGCACACACAACAACTAAGTGAATGGTTTTATTTTCATATTTTCGTAAAAACCGTTTTAAAACAGGGAAATTGTTGGTTCTTGGTAAACAATATATTGTTTACCAAGAACTAACAATTTCCCTGTATACGCAAATGATTGATAATTTTTTGTAACACATCAGAATTACGCCTTAAAAAAGAAAATTTAACGGCAGTAACTTTACAATTCAAAGTTGGTAATGTTGATGTCATTATATCGCATTGAAGACTTACACCAATACAGATTTGGCCGAGACTATAGATGTTTCTGAACTGCATGTATTTCAAAGTAACTGTCACAGTTAACAAAACATTTACTGTCATTTCACGTCGGAAGTGCAGTTTACCACACCAACTCAATTTTCCCCAAATTTTGTGTAGATGATTTATAGGCAACAAATCTCAATTTTAAAGGTTCTACCATAATTAATAAACCTATCCTGCCTAAAATCTCCGATAGAAACCAATACAAAATTTTAATTGTTTTTCATTTTCATTTAGAATTGTGTTTTGGTGTTGGTTTGAGTCGTTTAGAATATTATTGAATCGGATATTTAAATAGAAAATAATATTGGCCGTTTATTTCCTCAATTTCAATTGGGCTAGCTAGCTGAATTAGAAAATAATTTCAAAATTATTGAATCGTTTCAATTTCGTCAATTTCTAGTCGATATGACAGCTGTCACTTTGACACACGCCAAAATGACTGCTGACAAAATGGCAGGTTCTGAAATGGCATCTTTGAAAATGACAGGTGCCTAAATCATAGGTTTATGACGGCAGTCATTTTGACAGGTGCCGAAATGACAGCTATTATAATAACAATTGCCATTATTTGTCCTTACCACCACGCGACCAAAGGTGCGGATATACAGCCAGTATATTAATAAAACGGTGATTCATAACATTTGGCGAACATGGCAAAATGACTGCTGACTGCCGATTTTCAAAATGGTAGGTGCTGAAATATCATCTGTCAAAATGACTATTGCCTAAATGACAGCTTTCTAAATCACAAGTGCCAAAATTACTGTTGTCATTTTGACAGTTGTCAAAATGACAGCTGTAAAAATAACAATATTATTTTTCCTTAGCAATACCATAATACATTAATATATAGGGTGTCCCAATGGGGAAGTTTTTAAGTGATTTTTTAAATGTAATCAGAATTTTATCTTTTCTTTTTTTATTATTTCACTTTAATGTGACTTAAACATGCTTTTTATAAAAACGACAGGCGACTCATCTCAAAAATTACAGGTGACATGTCAAAAATATCAGAATTTAGCTATAACAGATGACAGCTCATTTTATTTCGTATTTTCGTCTTATATGGCTTATACATCCGGTTTAGCTCATTTTTGACATCTGTCAGCTTATTTTTGACATGTCACCTGTTATTTTTGAAATCTGTCCCCTGTCATTTTTGACATGATGTAATACCATAAATGTAATTAAATTAATAAATGTATTTTTTTTCAAATTAGCTTATAAAGTTATTCCCAGAAACAAACTTTTTCTTCAATAACTTGTACAGGTTAACGAGTTATTTAAGAAATTAAAAAAATGACATAACGTGCGAAAAATTAAAAAAGTACAATTATTATTTATTTCTTGGTAATTAATTATAGAACCTTCAAATTGGAATTTTGTGGTTATCCTAGCCTATAACTAATTTACACAAAACTTGAAAAGAATCCAAGTTGGTGAGGTGAACTTTTTCAATTATTGTGTTTGATTTGACGTGGAATGACCCTGTGGTGCTAACATTTCATGCACATGGTTGCCTACATATAAATTTTTGATGTAATGAAAATATATATACCTACCCTATTGAAAAGGGTATATTTTCATTACAAAAACATTTAGAAGTTTAAACTTTAGAATTTTGCTAAAATAACTTTTTACATCCTTTAATGGTTTAGGTATTCTAGAATAGCTAAACCCAAAAATAAAATAAATTAAATTTCAAACACACTGTACATATAAGAATTTAGATTTTTCTATTATTTATTACTTATTTTTAGGTATTACTATTTTTTTAAAGATAATTTTAATTATTTACGTTTTTACATTCCTTATTAAAATTGTGTTACCTATGGTTTTAAGTACCTACCCTACCTACCTTTTTATAACACTATACTTATTTCGCAAAAATGTTAAAATGTTTAAACAAACCAAATATATAGTCGAAACTTAAAAAGTTAAGGCTTTTTTTACAAATTTTATGAATTTTTGAAAAAATAACATAATATAGATATAACATGTTCAGTACATATACATATAGTAACTATGAGGCACATCAAAGTCCCACTTTGACATTTAAATCAGGAATGCAGTAAATTAATTAAGGTTACGTATCTGTCATCTGTCAAATGTTTAACTTTAATTTCGTCTTATTTTCTGAACCTCAACCGCAATTATTTGTCAAAGTGGGACTTTTTGAAGTGGAGCATGGTACCAAAGTTAATTTATATGCCATTTTTATCTATTTATACAATTTCGATTTTTTTTTACAAAAATTCGAGTTTTCTTGTTACCCAAGCTTCATAAAAAATTACTATGAAATGCTCCACATCAAAAAGTCCCACACTTTAATATTTGAAAAAGGAAACTTTCCTTAGAAAGCAATCAAATATATGAGTTTTAACGCAATAATACAATATACATGTTTTTTTGTGTATAAAGGTCTTAATTTATTACACAAAAATAGATGTATTATTTTTAGAAATTATCAGAAAACTGACAATTATTTGACTGCATTTCTTTTTCAAATGCCAAAGTGGCACTTTATCATAGGACTTTATGATGTTGAGCGTGGTACCAATTAATTAAAATTAAATAATTTTAGTACCAACCTATAATTTTAGTACCTATCTAGTAAAATCCAAATGTGATAATTAACAATATGTTTAGCTTGTATGTATCTATTATATTGTATTGTATATTATAAACTACTACAAAACTGTTGTTTTATATCAGAAAAGCTTTTTATTAAATAAACATAAACTTAAAGAGTGTTTTAATTACCTACCTACTTTAATCCTATTTTAATAAAATAATAGATGTTTATTAATCAACAACTTTTATTAAAACTATTTTTACTTCTCATCATATGAAATTGTGGGATCATTAAACATATGTACTTGTTCATCATAAATATCTTCAGGTATAGTGCTATCAATCTCCCCAATATAAGTAGGGAATGGAACAGGATTTGTTGGTTTCCTCAGAGGCAACTTAGTATCATAAATAGTAACAATTGAATTAGTTTCTCCAGCTATAGCCTGTCCAGAGACCCACATAATGTTGTATTTTGTGTTGATCCTTAGGATTTTCAAGCCTTTCTGGATTCTGTGCCTGTTTCCCATGTGACCGGGCATTTTTGTTCCGGGCCAAACTCTGCCCTTTTCGCCACCGCCACCGATGCAACCACCCTTACGGTGAGTTTTTGTGACACCGTGAGAGGCGGGCATGCCTTTAAAACCGTGACGTTTCATTACCCCTTGAAAACCCCTGTCCACTCTGTAAAAGGCAAAAATTACCAAAGGGAATTTGTAAAATAAATATTCCATAGTAATAAATGTAAAAATTAATAATAATATGAGAATTATTTAATATTTACTAACGTTTTCCCTCTGACATCCACCACATTTCCCACTTGGAAGTGCAGAACATTCACTTGTGTTCCCAGTGGTAAAACAGCATCAGGGCTCACAAAAAACCTTGATAAAACTCTTTTTGGTATAACCCCAGACTCTCTAAATAACCCACAATACTCTTTGGTGAACTCTGAAGGATCTGCACTCTCAGCTCCCAACAATAAACAACCCTTTTTGTTTTTAATGCCCCCAACTTGTTTACGGGGAGGATCATACTCCTCTGGGGTATAATACCTTATAACATGATTATCTAGAACCTAATTTACTTATTAATAAATATTCTGTAATATACCAACTATATTCACTTACTTGTAGCAGAGTAGTTTGAATTCTAGTCCCATCTTTTAACCACATTGGGTAGATGCCTACTTTCCTTGCAATAACCCCTGTTCTTTGCAATTTATCGTTCCATTCTTTGGGAGATACAACAGGTAACTTACTCTCACTCTCCACAACTTTATCTTGCACGATTTCCCTTAAAAACTCTTTATTTTCATGAGTTAAAAACTCTTCTTTAACCTATAAATAACTCGACATAAAACTTTCAACTATTTTTTAACACTCCACTTACAACACGGTTTTGTTTGGTAAACCACGTAGGATTTCTAAGCCTCGGCGGCGGATTTAACTTGTGTTTTTCTCTTATTTGAGTTGTACTGGTTAAACTAAAAATATACTCAATTTTTGTAATAATTTTACTTAAAAATCAAATATAATCATATACCTTAAAGCTAGCAGTTTTTCTTCCAACGATTTTACGCAACATTTCTGAATTGTTGAAATAATTATAGACATTTTACATATTTTTACAAAAAATTAGGTTAATCTTATTCTTCGGCCGTATGTCAAAAGCACGATCGATAAAGTAGATTTCGGTTTTATGGTAACTTGTGAGTTGTTTTCTTATTATTGGCAACACTGAAAGTTTGTTGTTGTTAACCTCAAAATTTGAAGACTGTTTTGTTATTTTTGTGTAAATTCAAAATATAATGGAAAAACCATTAAATTGCGTGTTGTGCGGTGGCAATTTAGCAAATCTTAATTTTTATAATTTAATGCAAGACTTCACGAAATCTAGGACTTTATTGATAAAATTGATCAGTAATTGTACAAAATATTTGGATGATTCCACATATCTAATTTGTGAGCAATGTTATGGTTTGTTAAACGATTTGGATGAGTTGTATCGTAAAGCGAAGTTTATAGAAAATAATTTTGTAAGTTATGTGGCAAATAAATCAAGAGAAAAGGTTGAATGCAAAACCAAAACTGAAAAATTGGACATATTTAATGCTGATGAGAATTTGGAACCTAAATATTACAAGGAAAATAAAGAAACCCCTGAAGAAAAACCACCTACATTCAATTTTATTTGCCACAGCTTAAAAAAATTCAATACACAAAAATCATATGAAGCTCAGAATAAATTGCCTTACATATGTGAAATATGTGGTCGCATTTTCAGACAAAACCACCAACTTAAAATGCATTTAAGATTTCATAATGGTGAGAAACCTTTTGAATGTGAATTCTGCAAAAAATCATTCACACAAAAGTGTGCTTTAACCCGTCACTTGCCATTGCACACAGGAAAAAAACCACACCAATGCGATGTGTGTGGGAAATGCTTTATACACCACACGTCGTTTAATTTACATAAACTTAGCCATAAGGGCGAAAAACCGTACAAATGTGAGTTTTGTGGACTTGCGTTGATGTCTGGTTCACATTTGACAAGACACAGAAAAACTCACACAGGGGAAAAGAAACATGCATGTGCAGTTTGTGGAAAGTCATTTGCTGAGAAGTACAATTTGTCTGCACATGAAAAGCAACACACTGTTGAGGGTGGAAGCAACAGAAAATTTAAGTAAGATTAACATTCTTTACAATTATTTAGGCTAATAAAATTGTTTTAGATGCCAAATTTGTGATAAGTTTTTCCAAAGGAAAGTAAAATTTCAAGAACACCGCATGAATGCACATCAAGCTAGCAATGTAACGGTTTTAGATGATTTAAATGTTAAAAAGGAAACTTAAATGTGTGTTATGTTTTTTATCTTGTACTTAATATTTTAGCCTAGGCTTTATAAGTAGGTTGTCTTGTTATTGACATACCCAGTAGACGCCTTCTTTAGTTAAGTTTTAGTTTAAATGTTGAACTATTTATAAATAAATTAATACGTTTTTATTACTTTAATACTTTATTATCACATACTTATGTACAGGGTGTCTCAAAATTATGAGCAGTATACATAACATAAAAATGAGATTTTCCTTATATACAGGGCAGCCCAGATGGTAAGAGAATCTTACTAAGGATAAATTGCTCTTAAAATTCCAATTGGAAATTTCATTTACAATTTTTTTTTAAATTCGCAAATTTGCAAGAGGTACTTAATGCTGGATTTATGCAGCACACATTAAAATTAAGTTAACATTAAGCTAATTTAAGGTGGGTATTTTATGCAGCAAAATTAATGGCAAAGTAATTTAGACATCTGACATTTTTGGTTAGTGTGAATTTTGTTTTAGCATCTGTTAGTCAAAATAAATGAAAACTATAAACTGCTCATCAAACAATAATCCAAAGAACACAATCATTGAACAAAAAATAAATCATTCAGCAGTAATGGATTAGGTTCATTTAACTTCTTAATGTTAATGTTAACTTAATTAACAAATTTGGTTCTTCATAAATCCAGCATGCTTTTAGTATTATCGATTTGTAATCTTGGTTGCCTATCTACATTCCAACAAGCTTGATAAAGAGAAATACTGTGATCTTGCAATTTTGCGAATTCTACAAAATGCTGAGGGAATTTCAAGAGGTATTCATCTTAAACTTTTGGGCCGCTTATTTTGGGGTCACTCTGTACCTAATGATCAAGGAAAGAGTTTATCCAAACAGGCCTCATCCATTCGGAAGAGCTGCCATTTTTCCGAATGCGTCATGTTGACAGCCCCCAAAGTTTTGTAAAAATCCGACGCAGGATTCCAGGATAAACAGTGGAAGTCCATTCGCTTACTTGGAGATTCATGTGCAATTTTGGCGACCGCCAAAAATAACTGTTTCCCGATGCCAGAGCACCTGTACGCGGGCTGAACGTACAAGTCCTCCAAAAAAATCGACTTTCCCAGCCACGTCGAGTACGACGAGTAAAATAACGCGTAACCGATGATGTAGCCGTCGGATAATTCGGCCACTAGGCACGTAAACGCCGGGCTTTCGTTATCGAAACCGTCTTTTTCCAAAACTGAAGCGTTTATTTTCACTTGGTCTTCCAGTTTCTCGAATTCCGCCAATGCCTGAAAGCAAGGTTACACAGTGACGTCATGACCGAGTTTTAAGAGTCAAATTGAGACGACCTATTCCACTATGGACCTTGATGAATTGATATTATTTTCGTTATACGTTAATTAAAGGTTATCTAATGTCTTTGAATGAAATTTAAGTGCAAATTTGCTCAATTTAACTTAAAATATTAATTTTTTACCTTAATCAGCTTGTAGACTTGCAGCATGTCATCTTTTTTGGCCCTTCGTATGGTGACATTGACTTCTTTAAGCTTCAACATGCTGATAATTAAATGATTGTTTGACATGAATCGTGTAATTACGTTACAATTAGTACAATTAATCACAAATTAAATAAATGATAAGATAGTTTTCTTATCAAAACAAAGAGCAATTAATTATTGTTATAAAACTTTTGTAATAAAGCGCTAAACTGTTCTTTCAGTGCATCAATATCAAGGATAAAGATAAAAGGCAGTTAATTAAAGAATTCACAATCGTTTTATTGGAGTTTATTAAACTAAAATTATTGTTAATTGGTGCACAATACAAAAATAACGCTTGCAATTTAAATACATCAAAATATTTTTCCAAAACGTTCAAAATATGCTTTTCAAGGGTCAAATTTTGATAAAGAATCATTGATCTTTGATACTTTTTAAAATGATTCCATTTTTCGGTTGATCTTGAAAACAAACTTACGATTTGAGGTTAGGTTTTAAACGTCAAAATCCACCACAGGCGCGTAACGTCATTTTCCTAGACAAGATCTATTTTAGCGACCGCCCAAAAAATTATATAAACGAAAAATGGCTACGATGCTGAGGGGAGCTACTTTAGCCGAAACTATATTAGTGAAAAATGGACCCAAAGTAAGTGAATTTTACTAATTTTTTTATCAAATTTTGTCATTCTATGCCACATTACATAAAACGGATATGAACTAGCTATAGGTCATCCAAAACCAACCTTGAACTATTTCGATGCTGCCAAAACTATTTTTGCGCATATTTTACACGATTTTATAACAATGAAACGCTTGATTTGTAGATTTTGGGTTCCGCTGCAGCTAATCGTTGGACACCCCAGCAAAATCAAACCAGAAATTTGAACGTGCACGAGCACATAAGTTACACTCTGCTTAAAGATGCAGGAATCACTGTCCCCAACTTTGGAGTGGCCAAAACCAAGGCAGAAGCCAAAGAAATTGCTCAAAAATTGCAGACAAAAGACCTTGTTTTGAAGGCTCAAGTTTTGGCTGGAGGACGAGGTGTAGGAGCCTTTAAGAATGGGCTTAAAGGGGGTGTCAGGATGGTGTACAGGTAAGATGAGTATTATTTGTATGGCCTTGTACATTTATCTCTCAAGGTCAAACTTTATAAGTCCTTTTTTGCTTTCCTTTGTTGTATAGATTTTGTTTATTTGTATAAGGGAGAAGAAAATGGGTCAATAATAAATTATTAAATAATAGGTAATAAGTCGTGAAAGTAGGTTGGATGTTCAGTAAGGCAAATGTATCTTAGGGGTGAACTTAAGGGGTTATTCTGTTTTAAATTTCAATTGAATTGAGGATCTCTTAAATCAGTTTCACTTTATTTTGATGGTAAAATAAATATTTTTAATGATTAAAACTGCAAAAATCAAGAAAAAACTTTAATATTTACCTAAAATTTGATGTTTAAATGTTAATTTTTTCTGCCAGTGTCAAGTGAATTTCATCCTATTTTTGTTAATAATGCAATGTATTTTTTGTGTATAAAGGTTATTAATCTTTGGTCCTAATTTAGACCCATATTACAAATTGATTTACTGCGCTCTCATTGGCGGCTTTAAAAGTTAAATAAATAAAATGGTAGAGAAATTTCAAGAGGAATTTACCTTTACCCTTTGTGCCACCAATTTTGGGGCACCCTGTATATAATACAAAATACTTAAGTCCTTGTTGTAATTTTGACTTTTTGAATCTGAATTATTTTTTTGTTTTCTGTAAATAATTTTTTATTTTTTTTTGTAAATTTTAAATATTAAGTATTGAGAATAGTTCTTATTTATGAGTTTTGTGTGTATATTAGGGTGGTCCAGATTAATCTGTATAACAAAAAGTTTTATAAATATTACATCTTAATCAAAATTTATATTTTGATAACACAATTTTTTAAACAATCAAAATTTCAAAATTTGTATTTTTCCCGCCAATAAAAATGCGCCTAGTATTTTTTTTAAATTCTGGACTCATTTTTTTTTCTTACACCTTCTAGAGACATAATCAACTTGCAGATAGAATTAACTTGACATTTTTAGTTAACACTAAAAAAAACGCACTGTGGGGTATTTTAATATGTAAAAACTAACTGAGTAAAATCTGGTATTCTCAAAATTGTTCAATTTTACCATTTAAAACATTTTTTAATATCTAAAGTAATTTTTTTACTCTTATTGTGGTCTTTAATAGAGTGGAAGTCAGTAGAACTTTAAAAATAAAAATAAAATTGTAAAATTAAATAAATCTCTTTAATATGTAGATAAAATTTGATGTACCTATTTCTTGATTATTATAGTTTTCCTTATTATAAATGTAAAATAAAAAATCAGTTTAACTCTGTTCATGTTAAATTTTGTTGAATTTTCATTTTAGTCCTGAAGAGGCAGAAGAAATTTGTGGCAAAATGTTGGGACAAATGTTGGTGACAAAACAAACTGGTGAAAAAGGTAGAATCTGCAATTCTGTAATGGTTGCAGAGAGAAAATTCCCCAGGAAAGAGTTCTACTTTGCAGTTATGATGGAACGCGCCTTTGCTGTAAGTAAATTAACAACTTTTTGCACTAAAACAGTTTGAAAAATTAATTTTTTAGGGTCCAGTGATAATTGCATCGTCCCAAGGCGGCGTAAACATCGAAATCGTCGCCGCTGAAAACCCAGACGCGATCGTTTACGAACCAGTCGACGTTATCAAAGGTCTATCTAAAGAGCAGGCCATGAAAGTGGCCGTCAAAGTAGGCTTGGAATCGCAAAAAGAAAAAACCGCCGAGATGCTCTTGAAAATGTACGACCTTTTCGTCAAAAAGGATGCCCTCCTCATCGAAATCAACCCTTATGCCGAAGATGCCGGAGAAAAATGTAAGTAAACAGAAAAACGCATACATACTGTATAGAATCAAGTAAGTAAGGCTGGAGACAAGGATGACAAATTATATTCTGATCAGAGAAAAAGAAACGAACTTTAATTGGGTGTGGTTTAAAGTTTAAACCACGCCATTCGTAATTACGAACCATAGTTGCCAGGTTGTTTTAAATCAGAAGAGAACGATTATAATTATTTAATAAATAGTTCAATTTTATTTGTTTAAAACTTTAAAAATAACAAAAAAATTAATAATATGTCAAAAATAATTTGATTTAGTTTATTTTCTTACTTTTAATATTAAAAAATAAGTAAAACAACCCTTTTAGGAAACAATAATAGCGTATGGCAACAGCCAGATACAAGGGCATGCAGTTTGATCTACTACACAGCTGTGTTTGTTCTGTAGCTCCGACGCTGTCGTAGGGAAATGTGTATAGTTTTTAAGAAATACATTTTCGGCATTAACTGGAATTTAATGGATTTTAAACAATACTTAGTTTTTATTTGCAGAAATACATTAAAACAAAACAAACGAATTTCATAAAAATAAAACCTATAAATTCTCAAACAAAAATAATTCTAAAATAACGAAAATAACTTTTTTTCTAAATTAAATACGACAATGATACGGCAAGCAAACAAATTCAATCCCTACCACAGTGGGCATTGTTTTATTTAAGTGTATCTATTCGTTTTAATACACACTGTATATCTTGTTTCCTGTTGGTTGTAGGTAAAAGTGGCAAATAAAAAAATTGTAGATTATTAAATTCTATACAAGTTTAATAATATGCATTTTTTACGTAACACAAACCGTTAAAGAATTAAGGCGCCTTGAAACTTGTTTTGTTTAGGTTAATAAGTTTATAGCTTTAAAGGTCAATATATCCTTAACGGTGCATTGTGTGTAAAAACCACAGACCACCAAAACAAATGGACGGATTTGTTTACGTTTAAAAAGCGAGTAAAGCATAGTTTCACATTCTAAACACCGTCGAAAGAAACACGGCTTCCAACGTTGTCAGAAGTATAGATTACACGCCTTTTTGGACGTTCATCATAACATAATGAACATTAATAATTACCAGTAATTCGGTTGAATAATAAAAAAATTGTAAAAAGGATTTGTTCATCATTTTCTTTGGATATTTTTCTCTATTTAAAGAAAGTAAATCATTTAATAATTATTAAAATTAAATATTAACAACGTTGGTAAATTCGTCATATTTGACAGCATAGAAAAAGGTTGACAGCTTGTTGTTTTGTGTTTTCGTTTGTGTATTTCTATCGTGTTTAAGTTAATTATGGAGTTTAAATACAATATTTTTTACTAAAAATAACAATACATGGAAATATCGTTTGTAAGTACCTACCTAATTATTTTTTTAATCCCAATAGTCACTGGAAGAAAACATAAAATTCTATCGCCAATTTAACGCTTAGACTGTGACCGTTTGTTGACGTCACTGGAAGAAAACATAAAATTCTACCTCCAATTTGACGCTTAGACTGTGACCGTTTGTTGACCGCAAACAAAGCATTGTTATTGAATGGCAATGAGCCGTCCATTTGTTTGGGTGGTCTGTGGTAAAAACGCATCTAATAATTGTTGTAGAGAATTCAATTATCTAAATTTTTTATCATAACACACTTTTGCCTACCACCAATAATAAGCAAGTTATACGAAATTCAACGTTTCAGACTTCTCTCTCGACGCGAAGTTCCGTTTCGACGACAACGCGCAGTTCAGGCAGAAAGAGCTGTTCGCTCTGCGCGATTGGACGCAAGAGGACGAAAAGGAGGTGCAGGCCGCCAAATTCGACCTCAACTACATCGCGCTCGACGGCAACATCGGATGCATGGTGAACGGCGCCGGCCTCGCTATGGCAACGATGGACATCATCTCTCTGCACGGGGGTTCCCCGGCCAATTTCTTGGACGTCGGAGGTGGCGCCACCGCGCATGCCGTTAAGGAAGCTTTCAAGATCATCACCTCCGATCCCAAGGTGAGTTGACTTTCAGATTTTTCTAATACATTTTTTACCTTGCCTTCTTCAAAGATTTTACGACAATTTAACACGTTTTAAAGTCATTTTTAACAGGATTTATGCAGTTTTAAGACAATTTAATAAGTTTAAATGACATTCTTAAATCTGCATATATTCTGTAAAGGAATGCCATTAAAACATCTTAAATTTAAAATCTTTGTCTTTAATCTAAAATCGTCTTCAAACCGCATAAATTCGTTTAAATATGACTCATTTTTCACCTGATTTATGCAGTTTGAAGACGATTTTAGATTTAAGACAATTAAAGAGTTTTTAAGGACATTTTTATACATGGTTTATGCAGTTTTAATACGATTTCAGAAAATTTGAAAAGTTTAGACATTTTTTAACAGGATTTATGAAGTTCCAAGACCATTTAAGAAGTTTTAAGACTTTTTTTACAGGATTTATGCAGTTTTGAGATAATTTTAGATTTAAGACAATTTAATAAGTTTTAAGGATAATTTTTGAGAGACATGCAATTTTAAGAACTTTTTTTAAAGGATATAGCTGATTTAAGACGATTTAAACAGTATATATAAGATTTAAGACGATTTTATTTTTGAATTTTTAGGAAATTTCAGCCGGATTTAGGCAGTTTAAAGGCGATTTTAGATTTGAGACAATTATAGAGCTTTTAAAGACATTTTAATTTGCAGGATATTTGCAGTTTTAAGAAAATTTAAGAAGTCATGGAATTTTTACAGGATTTATACACTTTTAAGACGATTTTAGATTTTAAACAATTTAAAAAGTTTTAAAGAAATTTTTTTTATTATTTATTTTAAACCCAAAAAGAAAACAGCGTTTATGCAGTTTTTAGACAATTTAAGACCACATTTTGTACAGGATACATTCAGATTTAAGAAGTTTTAAGGACATTTTTACAGGGTACATCCATATTTAAGACGTTTTAAGGGTACTTTGTAACAGGATATTTGGAGATTTAAGAGAATTTAAGAAGATTTATAACATTTTAACCGGATTTATGCAGACGTTTTTAGACAATTCAAGATGTTTTAAGGATATTTTTTACAGAATACATTCAGATTAAGAAGTTTTAATTACACTTTTTAATAGGCATTTATTTGTCTATTTTTTATTTAAGACAGTTTAAGAAGTATAAGGACATTTTTAAGGGGTTTATGCAGTTTTAAGACGAATTAAGACATTTTAAGAAGTTTTAAGGACATTTTTAGAGGGCACATCCAGATTTTAGACGTTTTAAGGCTTACTTTTTAACAGGATATTTGCAGATTTAAGAGAATTAAGAAGTTTTAGGACATTTTAACCGGATTTATTCAGTTTAAAGACGTTTTTTAAATTTTAGACAATTCAAGAAGTTTAACGGACATTTTTACAGGATACATTCAGATTTAAGACTTAAGGACACTTTTTAATAGGCATTTATCAGACTATATTTGATTTAAGACAATTTAAGAAGTTTTAGGACATTTTTAACAGGATTTATGGAATTTTGAGACGATTTTGGATAAAAGACAATTAAGAAACAACAGGATATATGCAGTTTTAACACATTCGCGGACACTTCCAGATTTTAGAGGTTACTCAAAAACACACCAATTTTTGTCTGCAATTGCAGACGTCTGCTATAACAGACACGTCCTTGTATATCCCAAAATTTTATATTAAGGGACATGCGTCTGTAATTGCAGACGTTAATAAACTAAATGCCGGTTTCGGTAATAAGAAGAAAATCGTAAAAAACATAAACTTTATTCAAATAAATAATAAAAACTACAACAAAATAAACTTTTAATCCAAGTCTTTGTCATCTGAACCAGCAAATGGATCTTCTATACTAGTACTGCTTGATCTATCACCCTCAGGCTCTGATGACGTATTACGTATGACGTAATTTACGTATCCCTATAGGGCAATACGAAACATCATCTCTTTTGCCAATGATCTTATACGTATATTTATTCAAAAACCATTTTATATATTGAATATATATATATATATACTATATAATATAATATATATATAATATTATTATATATTTATAATTTATAATATTATATATTTATGATTATTAAAATTTTATAACAAAATATAAAAAACCGTATTTAGCTTAGGCAGGAATATTTCCTTAGAATAAAAATATTTGAACAAACCCTTATTAAAAATATAGTACTTACCGAGAGTTAAAATAAAAAAAAAACAACTTAAAATAACATTTAAAAACAACAAAATAAAATCGAAATTTACAGGGACACTTCATAACCTCTTCCATTGGCCGTTATGAAGCTACTGTCTGCTTTTGCAGACATGACGCTTTTCGTGAGAAAACAATCTGCGCGGGAACTATATATTTAACCTTAAAATTTATCACTTATAGGGACACTTTTCTGCTAAAAAACTTAATGTACAGGGACAATATGCTTCCATTCATACGTATTTAATAGTAAATAGCGACTGCTAATGCAGACATGCGTTTTTCTGTGGTTTAAAATTTGTCTGCAATTGCAGTCGTGTCCCTACACATGTGTCTGCAATAGCAGTCGTGTCCGCGAATGTGTTAAAACGATTTTAGGTTTAAGAAAATTTAAGAAGTTTAAAATTATTTTAAATATAAGTATGAGCAAAAAAATTTTTTTTTAGGTTCACGCAATTTTGGTGAACATCTTCGGCGGTATAATGAGATGTGACGTGATCGCCGAAGGTATAATTGCCGCGGCCAAGGAGTTGAGCTTGAAGATGCCCATCGTGTGCCGTCTGCAAGGTACCAACGTTGACGACGCAAAAGTGCTAATCGCAGCTTCCGGCCTGAAGATTTTACCAGTAGACAATTTGGATGAAGCCGCCAGGTTGGTTGTGAAACTGTCAAGCATCGTGAGCTTGGCTAGGGATGCCAAGTTAGATATTAATTTCGAAATTCCATTGTAAGTTAATGTATTATTATTATCGATATATTGTATTATTTTAATTTTATGTACACTATACAATTATGAAAATCAATAATAATTGTTGCAAAGCATTGTTGTTCCTGCACAGATTGTATATTATTTATTATGTTAATAATTAAATAAATTATTCCATATTAACAAAAAACCCTTTTTCGCATTTCACGTTTTTATTTCCATATTTACAATTGTACACGTACACAGCTATTCTTACACTCAAAATAAATAAATACATAAATAGAAAAACTAAATATATCGCCGGAACTAAAGTTTTTCATTAAAATGTGCCCGACGATAGATTTGGCCAGGCAGATCTAAAAAATTGACAGATGGTAGCCTGTAAAAAATTGCAGTTGACATGTCAAAAAATAAAAGTTTTTTGTCACCTGTCATTTTTTGACATTTGTCTTTTTTGACAGCTATTTTTCATCTGTCATATTTTGACATCTAACATCTGTCATTTATTGACGTTTGTAATTTTTGACTGCTGATATTTGCCATCTGTCATTTTTAATTACTAACATTTGTCATATGTCATTTTTGACTTCTAACATTTGTCATCTGTCATATTTTTGCTTTGTTCAATTTTAACATGTTTTTTTACATTTGTCATGTGTCATTTTTCACATCATTCATTTTACACTACTGACAATAAAAATTATCTACTTTGGCTAAAAAAGATATACAAAATTTTTTTCTACAACTCATCCTTAAAATTATGAATATTATGTAAATGGTCGCCGTAATCGGTAGCTTCGCTGCCAACAAAAACCTCGTAGTGCTCTAAAATCTCCTCGAAACTCAGTAAATCGTCATGATCGTCATCACTAGAAACAAAAAGGTGGTCCACCTCTTCATCAGCTATTTCACTACAACAAAATTATATGAGATTAATTAAACCGTATTTTAATTATTAAACAGCATCTTACTCGTTACTAGGAACCACCCAAGACAATATTTCGTTGCCTGTCAGTCTGCCATCAGCATTTTTATCCAACTCCCTATCAAACTTTTCCTTCTCCAATACCAGCCATTCTTTGTCGTGCTCCTGGGCCCTCTCCCCGACAAATTCCTGAAAACTTACAGCCTCATCCCCATCCTTATCTTTATCCCTTAAAGTCTGCTTCAAAATCACCGGCAACATCGCAGGGTGTTCCTCTGGGTGCGAGAAGGATAACCACTCGTTTTTACTTAAGCTACCATCACCATCCGCATCCGCTGCTTTCCAAAGTGCCTTGTCGTCCTCGATTAACTAAAATTTATTGTTGTAAAATTATTTTTACTGTTTACACTTTGTTGGTTACGTACATGATCGTTATCACCGTCGAACTGGATGGCTTCTTCAGATTTGTCAATGCCATAAGTATCGGATAAGTATTCCTGCCACGAAATAATGCTATCGCCATTTTCGTCTGCATCTTCTAGTCTATCACTAGCCTCTTCCTCAGATAATTTTCTTTAAAAAAAGTATGTATATTAGGGTAGTTTCTACTGAGCATGCGCAATACGAAAAAATATACAGTCCAAATCACGCCTTTTAACTTGGAAATATTCAAGTAGGGAAATTACTGCGAATGCAAAACAGGTATACTGGTTTGTTTGTTTTTTAAAGTCATAAGGGAGACTTCCATTTTGGTATGGTTGCTCTATGAAAGAGTAGTGAAAAATAAGTGACTAGACCTGGGAGGGCCAAAATGGGGGTCCCGGTATAGAAATATCCATGTATTTTTGGACAATATCGCAAGCTTTGACTTCCTAGCGAGATATTTTGGGATTAGTCCAATGGATGGAGTGGATGTTTCAGGATTGGAGTTTCCACATTGCTGAAACCGTGTGACGTTAAAACTTGTGTTTGGTCAGTAAAGGTCCATTTGGACTCAAGAACAGTTCTCCACAGAAAGAACGAAAAAATATTAGAAAGAAGAAGTCATAAGTGATTATATATGAGACGAGTTATAGCAAAAATAAAATGTAACTATGTAGAAGAAATAATAATATTATACAATATTTTAATAAGTAAAGGTAAAAGGGTAATAAGGGAAACTTCTGGCCATGGACAGGAAAGGATATTTATATATTATATATTTTTTTAAATATGTATTATGGTTCTTATTATAAACATTATTATTATGGTCAAAAATACAAAGAGTTAAAAAATTATAATTTTTGTTACATTCTTTTTTAATAAATGAAATTAAAATTATGTTGCATAATGTGTAATTATGTTACAAGTGGCATGTTAAATGTTCTGTGGTGGCAACACTGTATCCAAACAAAGCCATATGCAAAGTAGGGTTTTAAAATTTCCCGAAAAATTGAGCTGGCGAAAAAAATCGTTTTTTCCGAAAAAAACCGTTTTTTCAGAAAAAAAACCGAAAAATTGAGAAATTTTCAGAAAAATTGAATTGCATTTTATTTAAAGGGTAATACAAAAAATTAAAAAGTAATTTTTCTGAAAATTTCCAAATTTTTAATTCAGGAAGAATATTTCACCGGGTCGCAAAAAACATATTTGGTGCTGTATTACCATAACTTTTGATTTATAAAATATAATTTTGTAAGTTAACTTTATAAATCATTCATTATTTTGCAATTGGATATTTTAAATGGACCCTTTTGCAGAAAAGACCAAACCAACATTTTCTTAAATCAATTTTATTTTTTTGTAAGGATATTTTTTAAATTAAAATAATGGTTACTTTTTTTCAAATGTTTATATTTTCCAAAAATTCAATTTTTTTCCAAAAAAATCCCAAAAAAGCCATTTTTTTCAAGGCCTCACCAATTTCTCCGTTTTTTTTTACACTGAACAATCAACGCTAAGACCACAGTAATCTTAAGATTACTGTGCTAAGACAGCAAATATATTAACAGATTATAATCTGTTCTCTTTGTCATTATTGCGGTTTTACCAATACAGCCTAAGAAGACATGATTTTCCATAGTGTTTCATTTTAACATGTTAAGTACGACAGTAGAGTTGTGCGAAACTCCACAATTTGCGCAACGGACTTCTCTCGTGATTTGGACTGTAAAACTTGTTAGCTATACCTAGCTTAGCCAGGGCCGGATTTACGAATTTGCCGCCCATGGGCCCAACGCATCATTACCCCGAATAACGAATGACTCAGCGAATAAGCTAGAGTCGCGCCCCACTCGCCTCGTGTACATCGACTGCCGCCCTCCTACGCAGTGACGCACTACGCAAAATAATAGTGTAGTCTGATATAAAATTATCTAATGTATTAAAAAACTTCTCTTCCAACTTTTTATAGTTTTAATTAGTGTATAAATCTGAGTGAAAACAAAAATTCTGCATAAAACGCTCTTGATTTTTTAGCAAAATTTTAACTGGCCTTCAAAATTTGCCGCCCCTAAAAAATTTGCCGCCCTGGGCCCGGGCCCATGTGGCCCATGCCTAAATCCGGCCCTGAGCTTAGCTATAGCTACTAGCTAAAACTTGTTAGCTAGCCTATAGGCTAGCTAACAAGTTTTACAGTCCCAAGAATGTTAGCTGACTTAAAAATGTATAAGTAAAATATAATGGTTTCTACCTTGTCTCTGGTTTCTACCCTCTACTTATAATAAAATGAATTTATTATAAATAAAATACATTTATTATCCCAATAAACTACAAAGTTTACAAAGGGAATCTAAACTAATGAATTATTAAATATTCTTAACAAACTTATACCTTATACACTATATTAACAAATAATTAAAACTAAGTTATATACTAAATATAAAGCAATATACTAAAATCATTCTTTACTCAATGCTAAAATATAAGCAAAAACAAACATATTACTTACCTAAATGATCGAAGTATCCAAGCCTTTAACTCCCTTCTATCAATAGTCTCATCCTTGGTCAAGTCCATCTGTCCAAGCAAAATCCTGAGCCTAGCCTTAGATTCGTCAGGGGGCAAATGATCGTACTCCTCTGCCTCCCTGTGGCTTCCCAAAATCGCCTCGTGATCGAACTCGCTGTGATGCTCGCCGCTGTCGTCGAAGTGTCCGTGATCTTTGGGGCTATACGCGCCGTCTTCTTCGCGCTCCTTATTTATTTCGTTCGTGTGGCTGTGCATAACCCCCGCAGAGGCACCTTGAAATAAATAAATCGCCACAAATATCAGGCTTGTTCTTATTTCGTTCTTCATCTTGTAAATTCAGTGAAGACAATCACAGTTTGTTTCTTAATCCTGGAGAGCACTCAAGAGTCACGTACCATTTTTGTTTATAAACAATAATAAGATTATCTGATTTTACGATTTTAAGGTTATAAAACACTTTGCAGATTCCTGTAATGTGACGTGTTCAAATTACAGAAAACTGTGATGTCAAACAGGTGACGTTTATCTTCCAGTTTGAGGTTATGTGCACTTATTAATACATTTCGGGTATATTTCTAATAAAAGGAAAATGTGGGCAGATACTTTACTAATCGTTTTTATATCGATATGTACCGCTTTGTTGGGCGAAGGCCTGACTTGGCTGATGGTGTACAGAACGGAAAAATACCAAAAATTAAAGACTGAAGTTGAAAAACAAAGCAAGAAATGTAATCAAATTTGTTTACAAGTTATTTATGTATTATACTTTTTGTTGTTTTAGTGGAGAAACGTAAAGAAGCTCATGGGGATTCTTTGGATAAACAGCACAAGAAGAAAATTGAAAGAGAGGAAGAACGACTGAAAAATAACAATAGGGATTTATCCCTCGTTAAAATGAAGTCCATGTTTGCTATTGGTTTTGCCTTTACAGCACTATTAAGCATGTTTAATAGCATGTAAGTAAATTAACAGAATTAAAATAATTATTATTTAATATCTATTTTTTCTTAGATTTGATGGAAGAGTTGTAGCAAGATTACCATTTTTGCCATTGACTTGGATACAAGGTTTAAGCCACAGAAACTTGCCAGGAAACGATTATTATGATTGTTCCTTCATATTTTTGTATATTTTATGCACCATGTCAATTAGGCAGAATATACAGAAATTATTAGGGTTTGCACCATCTAGAGCTGCTTCAAAGCAAGGAAACAACTTATTTGGTCCCACACCTCAGTTTAAATAAGTTTATTGAAAAAATGTTATGTTTATTATTTATTTGAATGTATTTTTCAGTCTATATATTTCTTAGTTTTACCAACCAAAGTCTTGATTTTACATCTACTTCCCTATTTTCATGTTTTTCTAATATTGCTATTTAATTTTTGGTTAATTATTTAATTATACTAACTATTATAGTTAGTATAATTAAACTATAATAGTTAGATTTGTATTAATAAATGTTAATGTAAAAAAGCAAGTTGCCAAAAACAAATAACCACACAAATCTTAAGAATGCCAATTTAAGGTGTTTTTATAAATAAAGTCTTGGTATTTTGTTCAATTAAAATATCCAATGCTGCTTAAGGAAAAATAAAATAAGAGTAATTTTTTAGGAAATTTTTATTATTCTAACCATAAATTTATGCTTTGAGCGCAAATTTCCTTGGTGGGAAGATGGAGCGCTTGCGGATTTCCTTGGGGGTTTTGAGTTTCTGTTCGTGGCTGGAGAGAGCACGACGAATAGCGCGGGTCTTCTTTGGTCTCAAGTCCAAAGGCTTGTATTTTTTGTTTTTGTACAATTTCCTCAAGTTTTCCTTTTGCTTCTGGTGCATGACAATGTACACGCGGGCAATGGCTTTCCTTACGACGCGGCTGCAAGAAAATTCACCTTAAAAACACTTCACTTAAAATTTGCTGTTTGACTTACATTTTGGAGAGTTTTGAGGGGGCTCCGCCGGTCACTTTGGCCACCCTAAGACTGGTAAGCTCTGTTTTGAGCTCATCGAGCTGCTTGGTCAGCTCTTTTTTGTCTTTTGTACGCAATTCTGAGCACTTTACCTTACCCTGCAAAGATGGAAAAACATTAGTGACATAACCTACACTTTTGCAAACACTCGAAATTTCACTTTAATAAATCCAAAATAACCAAAATGCCACTTCAATCACAAAAAACACTTTTTATTCTTTCGTTTTAACTTAATTTCCAGAGTGGATGATGGTTTATTTTGGAAATATTCGCGGATTTCATAAACTCACCATGTTCACTACGTTAAATGACGTTTGAAAAGAAGCTATCTAGTGGATTTTCATATTGTACTAAAATGTCAGGGTTGGTACAAAGAACATGGTGTTCTTTGGTGTTCTTTGGGTTGGTACAACTGTCAGGTGAACCAACCGCTAAAATTAAAAAAAATATATTTCCAATGTATTTTGTTTATTGATAATATTTAAACATATTTAAATATAAAAGTTAAATATTACCCACAAATATGTAATATTACCACTAATATTCCTTAATTCTGTCAAATAATAACAAAAAATGACAATCCAAGTTTAGGTTGGCAACAGATGACACATACGTAACCTCAAAGAGGGCGTAGTGTTTTTATCGCTGATTATTTTAGAAAAACATCAAAAATGGCAAAAAATACGTCTAGTTCGGCCTTTAGGAAAATAGACATTGATCAGTACAATGAGGATAATTTTAAGGAAGACGAGACCGATCAGGGAGGACCTCAGGGACCGGACGAAACAGAAGTGAATAATTTACTGAAAAGATATCCTTTTTTAATTTAGCAGATTTTGAGTTTTGTGTTATTATTTTTATATTTTCCTTAATGTAGATATACTGGCCAACATGCTGAAGCTTTAAAAACAGTACTGAGTAATGCCCCCCTGGGGAGCAAAAGTGTACAAGTCAAGGTTAGTAAAATAATGTTTATTATTGTTATTATGCAGTATTTGTATTTTTAGGAAAACGCAGTCAATTTAACGCTACGGGTCATGTTATCCATCAAACCATCGCAAATAGAAGAAGCAGTCAATTCCCTGAACATGGATCTAATAGATGTTCTAATGAAATATGTATACAAAGGTTTCGAATACCCTTCAGAAGGAAGCAGTGGGCACTTGTTGCTGTGGCATGAGAAAATTTACAATATAGGAGGTGTAGGCTGCATTGTAAGAGTTTTATCAGACAGTAGGCGAGTGTGAAATTTTTTTATCATAGGTATTATTAACCAAATAAACGTGTCAATAGAGTTTTTAGTTAGGACGTTCATCTAAATTAAGTCTTACTTATGTTGTTAACTTTCTGTTGAACAGGTATTTAAATGATTTGTACAATTTTTTTTAATTCATTTTTATTATAAAAGCTTTATAAAAAATATATGGGAATTTCATTTATTAATTAAATAGATAACTGAATTAAAACATTTTTTTCTTATTTGGACTTTTGTTTAATGATTTCAAAACGCATGACAACTTAACAAAAATCCAAATACACTGCGCGTCAAAATTAACGCATAATAAGTATAAACATTCTAACTCTAAAACGCCTTTACCAAAAATTTTGTATAAGAATACTTTACATGTTCAACTGTTTTTCGAGAAAATATTTTTAAAGCCCTATTATTTAATAATAAAAAAAACTTTCAAAAAATAACTTTTAGGGAATATTTTTTAAGTAAATAAAAAATATGCTGTTAAAGACCGTATTTTTGTTAGTATAGCCTGAAAATATTGTACAAATCAAACCAACTGTAACAAAGATACAGCGCTTCAAAGTCGGTAAAAATTACCCCTTTTTGATTATTTTGCTAAAAAGTGGTCATTTTTGACGACTTTAAAGCGCAGTATTTTCGTTATTGTTCGTTTGATTTGTACAACATTTTCAGGGTATACTTACAAAAATACGGTATTTCACAGCATATTTTTTATTTACTTAAAAAAAATTCCCTATAAAAGTTTTCTTTCAGGGCTTTAAGGATATTTTTTTGAAAAACCCTTGAACACGTAAACTGAGGTATAAGTTAAAGTATTTTTATCCAAAATTTTATAGATTGGTAAAGGCGTTTTAGAGTTAGAATTTTATTTACTTATTATTAGAGATGTAAAAAAACGGTTTTTTTCAGATGTGAAAAAAAACATAAAAAACCTAGAAAATAAACGGGTTTTTTTGTTTTTTTTTCAAAATGAAATTTTGAAGTAGCTTTTTGAAAAATCAAGCGCTGAATCAAAAATATTATATGTAATTACTTTTTTTAGGACCAAATCAAAACAAGCGCGGCCCTTATTGGTCAAATCGATGGTTGTGGCGCGTGCATAGCGCGAGACTATTTACATAAAAAAAAAATCAGGCAAAATTTTGAAAAAAATCCTAAATGTAAAAAAAACAATTAAAAAAAAACAAAAAAACGGACCGTTTTTTTTCAAGTCGCATCTCTACTTATTATGCGTTAATTTTGACGCGCAGTGTAATAAAAACGTCATGACAACAACCTTTACCTAAAAAACCATAAAACACTTAAAGTTTGGACATTTGTGATCGAGCCAAGATATCGTGCATTTCTTTCAAGCAGCTCGTCAAAGTTTCCCTGTAAATTGTGGCGCTGGTTTCCTGGTTGCTCGTAAACGCAGAAACCCCGAAATTAATGTCGTTCGGTCTCGGATTGTAGCAGCAACCGTAACCGTCCGAAGTTAGCGGGGCGTAGACCATGAAACCGTCGCATTTGGTCGCGACTTGGCTGGTGGAAAGCCGCATGTGGGAGCTACGAGCGTAGGAAGCGTCTTGGTACAGTTCGGGGAGCGGTATTTTTTTCTCCAGGGCGACCTGCTTCAGCCCTAGAAGGTGCCTATCGACTCCGAAACCGTTGACTGCATCGATCGAGTATTTTTTGTGCGAGTTTATGGCGGATTTTAGGGCCGCAACTTTGTCAGAGTCGCTTTTAGATTGCAGCATTGTTTTCGCGAATGCTACCGATTCTATTGAACAGGAACGGATTGTTTCTGTGCGGCCGTGTATGTATTTTCTGGTGGCTGCTGATTCGTAATGTGCCCCAGGTACTCTGTGTATTCTTAAAATATATTTTTAAAGATATTTTTGGATGTTAAAGGCTGTCAACTTACTTATAAAAAGCGTATTGCATAGCAATTTGTATAAAGCTATCAGGGCTTAGTTTTTGGGATTTGACAAAATCTTTTCCAAAGTCCTCGAATTTGAAGCTATCTGTATCCAAATTTGCAACCATACTAAAAAAATTTATAAAAATCAAATATTTATAATTTTTTTTTTATATTTACTCATCCACTGTTGTGTTAGCTGCATGTATGTCCTTTAAAACAGCATTGTTGATTTCAAATGGTAATTTTATAGGGACCATTTCCAATTTGGTGTCAGGTAAATTAACATCTTTTTTACTAAAACAATTTAATTTGTAATTCCCAATTAGAAAGCATTTCAATAAAAAAAAATTACATAAATTCCACAATATAATCAGTCATAACAGCTATGGGCTGCCCCTCACTAGGAGAATGCTCATAAGTCAACCCCACTGTGCCATCTTGTCCAATAATAAACTAAAAATAAATAAATAATGCCTATTGAATGGGATCAATCCTTGGATGATTTTAAGAAAAAAAGTTCATATTAAATTGTTCAAATTGAAGAAAAAAACTTTTTAAAAACCGGTAGAAACAAAATTTTAAACATCCAAATCTCAAAAATTACCGCTTAAGCGATTTCGGACCCAAGTTTTTTCCTTAAAATTGCCAAGTGAAAAAATATTTTACATATCTCAGAAAATTACTTTGATAAAAGTTTTTACTAGATTTTAAACCCCCAAAATATTGGACACATAATTTTTATTTTTCAGGGTTAATTTGCAATTTTGCAAGTGAAAAAATATTTTACATATCTCAGAAAATTACTTTGATAAAAGTTTTTACTAGATTTTAAACCCCCAAAATATTGGACACATAATTTTTATTTTTCAGGGTTAATTTGCAATTTTGATTTTTCTGAAAATTTTGGACGGAATTTTTGTTATTGATAAAAATTAATTTCTGGTAAGTTTTCGTTAATTTGTCATTTTCTTTGCAACAAATGAATGTTATTATCACGGTAGGTTTCTTTTTATTCGGAATTTGACAAAAATTTAGGGGTTTAGTTGGCAAATTCTAGGGACTGTAAATTTATATTTGGCTACATTGAGTAAAATCAAATTATTTCATTAAAATGCTGTTTTGTTTTTAAAATTTCTTTTCCTTTAGAATTTTCTGTTATATTTAGCATGGTTTATTATAATTTTAACATTAAAATGATATATGTAAAAGTAAAATTAAGGCATTGGACAGGAGTACCAATTTTAAATATTAAAAATATCACATTATATTGAAATACAGTACCAATATATAATCAAATATTTGTCAAATTCCGACTAAAAAAAGTATTCCCTTGAAAATTCTCAATGGGTGTGTAATTTAACTAATTACTTTTAAGAAATAAAAAAATTAACAAAAATTGACCAAACATTTTTCAGCCCAAAATTTTCAGAAAAATAAAAAATGATGTGTTGCATATTCCAAGCATAAATCAAGCAAAAACTTTTATCAAGAATGAATTTTCCTGAATGTAAAATATTTTTTTTCCTCTTTGTATCCGTGGACATACTGTATATAAGACCATGATTGAGACCATCTGGTATCAAAATTTAATTAAGAAAGACCCTGTGTAAAAATATCCAAATTCATCACTGTAACCAAATTACCTGTATGGTTTTATCAAACCACCTGTTGGCAGAGTTACCCCTACTCCCCCCTCCATGTATAAACTGTTTGGACCCTAAAGATCTCCTATTCCCGTCATATTCCGGCATAGGATTATCGAGGCAAACCAAAAATAGTGATTTTTGGATCTCCTCCACTGATTTTGCATTACTTGGACACACTATAATATAAAAACATTTATTATAAAGACCTCCTCTTCAAATACGCACCTTGGTTTTGTTCAAGACCAAGGTGCATATTTAGTAATTATTACTTAGGTACCTTGTTTTAAGGTTATGTAACTTTTCGCCCAATTGTCCCTTTTATCAGCCGTCAGAATTCCAACAGGTGGGTCGACTTCTTGAGATGATTTTAAAATGTATTTAAGTTGGCTTACAAGCTGGGAAACGCTGGGGACTTTACCTTGGGAGTTGACAACTTGAAGTTTAAAATACTAGAAAAAATAATGGAGTCATTCTTTGTAATATTTGCAAAAAAAGTATTTTTTTCTAAAATACTCACATTGTTGTTTCTTGCAATAACAATATGCCTGGAATCATGATTAAATTCCAGACCATCCCTTTTATCCTGCGGAATTCTACAGGTACCAAAAATTTTCTTATATTGGTTCATATCTAAAGGATCTTTACCCATTTTATCCAAGGGAATATTGTCGCTAAAAAACACAATAGAGTTAAAAAAATATATTTTTAAATTACGCGCCATTTATTGTTATGGCAATACTTATGTTGGTAGAAGACTCATACTAGTATCCTTTTTCTATGCTAGTAGGTGTGCTATGACCTTTTAAGGTTTTGACACTGTCAAATTGACAGTCAAAGCACACCTCCTAGTAGGAGTGAATTAAAGACATGATTTATTAACCATGATAAAAGATTACGAATTTTTTTTTTATTATTTTAATGATCCTAATTTCAATAATTCATATGCAACTTACTTATCTATCTGCAATTTGTAGTCAACAGCCCCCAAAATCATCTTGGCTGTATAAGCTAAACGATCATTCTCATTTTCGAAATTCTCACATGGAAAAACCAAACCGGGGCTGGAGTAGACAACAACAGGGTCCCTGTATTCCAAGTAGGCACACGTAAGCCACCAATCAGCCAACCAATTTTCCGTATTTTTGGCCCTATGCACCAAATGTTTTTGCAGAATTTCCGTCTCAAGTTTAAACTTTTCCAGCAATTGTTTGGTCTTATTCAACTCCTCGTTGTTTAAAAATGGGGTCACAGAAAGGAGGTATTTTTCTGTGGTTTGAGCTACTGATGGGACTGGTAAATGTGGAAGATTTAAATTGTTACGGAATATAGCTTGTGAGCTGCATTTGTTATTTATAACACTGTATATGTTTATTAGTTTTCGTTGATTGGCAATCTACAAAAAATACGTTAAAAATTGTTATAAATTTGTTTTTTTACTTACCAGTCTTGGTTTGGATAAAATCATTGTTTTTTCACTATTTTCGGGTTTTTCAGAGCTAAAAATTGTCATGATTTTAGCAAGTTTACGAGTTTTTAATGTTATGCAGACTTGTTTAACTTGATACCTACTTCCTTTCCTACTAGCCTTTGTACTTAAAAATGTCAACAAATAAGTGTGAAAGTAAAATATCAATTAATATACGATTAAAATATTTTACCTGATATTATAATTTTAGGTAAACTTTTAAAACTAAAATAAATCACATACACAATCTGTTTTCCATATTTACTTAATTAAAATAAACACAAAAAGGAAAAAAGCAAGGTTATAAATAAAAATGTTTTTGTTTATTGCTTTTAATAAATTACCTAATTATTTCGTTTACAGATATATAAAATTGTGTTGAAAATATGTTTTAACGATAAAATTAATGATGTTCATTTTCTAAATTTAGAAGGTTCTGGCACAACCGTTGTGCAATTTTAATTTTTTTAAATGCTTTTAGACACTTCTTCTATTTTGTTAATATTTTTCTTAAGTGCTTCTAGACACTTCCAAATTGCCGGCTTCTTGTGCTTGAAATCATAACCCAACTTATTTGAATTCGTAATTTTCACGTAAAAATGGTAATTTTAGGCGAAATTTTTCCTAATTTTAAGGCCCAAACTACTGTCGGGGACATAATGTTTCACGATTGGCTTAAAGACTCGTAAGTTGTTAATTATAATTAATAAAAAACGATGTTTTCTTTAATAACAACTGCAATTTTAGCTGGGGTATACTTTTCTCTCACCCGGCCGATTTTACACCTGTATGCACAACAGAATTAGCTCAAGTAATCAACCTGCAGAATGAGTTTAAAAAACGCAATGTTAAAGTGATAGCTTTATCATGTGATCCGGTGGAAACACACTTGAAATGGTGCAATGATATAAAATATTACGCTGGCAATGCGGGAAATGAATTTCCCTATCCAATTATAGCAGATGATGACAGAGAGTTGGCATTACAGCTGCAAATTATTGATCCAGATGAAAAAACAAGTGATGGTATTCCGTTAACTGCAAGAGCAGTTTTTATTGTTGATCCCAGTAAGAAAATGAGGCTGTCTATTTTGTATCCTGCTACAACTGGAAGAAACTTCAAGTAATTAACATTAAGAAAAAAAATTGTTTGTGTTTACTTTAATAATTTTTTTTTCAGTGAAATTTTGAGAGTGATTGACTCATTACAGCTTTGTGATAAGCACAAAGTGGCTACACCTGTTGATTGGAAGGTATTTAGTAGTTTAATAACAGAAAAATTTACAAAGTATATATATTTTTAATTTATTTTACAGAATGGTGATGATGTGATGGTTCAACCCTCTGTCTCTGATAAAGAAGTTAAAACTCTTTTTCCAGCTCTAACTGTTGTTACTTTGCCCTCTGGAAAAGGTTATATTCGTAAAACACCCCAACCAGAATAACTTTTTCTTAGTTTTATTTTGTTACCTAGTGTTTTTCCAAACACATTTTCGTTATTTAAAGAAGAAATAAAATGTAGTTTTATAATAAAATTTGACAAAAATCTTATAATTTGTTTTATTTAAAAGATAATTTCTAAATCTCAATCTTTGTCATTAAGTCCCTTTTTATGTCAATTTATCAATTAAGACCTCACATCTTTTTTTAAATATTCTAAACAAGAGGTCTTTTGAGATTTTTCTTTGCTTACATTTGAAATTTTACCTTAAATCAGTGGCGGATTGGGGATTTTGGGTATACCAATATCTCAGTTATTAGACATGGGACCCACACCAAATTAATAATAGTTTATTATGACATTAAATAGACAAGTTCGGCGTAAACAGAATTTAAATTGAAGTTTGCGAAAAAAAGTTAGTTTTTTGTGTCGCCTCACCTGGCTTCTGGCCCCCCCATTTGGGATAATTCAAATTAAAGTGGTGCAATTTATACTCCACTATAATTTATCGACAAATTTAAAATTTTATTTAAAAAATATAAATATTACAGATTTTATACGATTTTAAATTTTTATTGTTTATTTTATTATAATAAAAAAATATTTAATATGGTATAAAATCTGTAATATTTGAATTTTTCAAATAAAATTTTAAATTTACCGATAAATTATAGTGAAGTATAAATTGCACAACTTTAATTTGAATTATCTCAAATGGGGGGGCCAGAAGCCAGGTGAGGCGACACAAAAAACTAACTTTTTTTCGCAAACTTCAATTTTAATTCTGTTTGCGCCGAACTTGTCTATTTAATGTCATAATAAACTATTATAAATTTGGTGTGGGTCCCATGTCTAATAACTGAGATATTGGTATACCCAAAATCCCCAATCCGCCACTGCCTTAAATAGGTAATTATTTTAGGATGTTGTGCAGGGGATGTGAAAAATAAATAATTTTTTACAAAAATGTTTTTAATTGACTTTAAAACCCAGATTTTATGTGCAGCTTGCTGCGCTAATTAAATAAATAAATAAAAATAGTTTCCAAGATTTAAATTACCCGTCAATAATCCAGGGATTTTAACTTTTAACAGTTGGCCTTACGTATAAAGTTGGTGATCCTGCTCAACCACATCTGTCAAAGACGTAAAAACATCGTTAAAAAATGACCACCGCAGCCCGACCAACTTTTGAACCTGCTCGGGGTGGTTCAGGAAGAAACGAAAAAGATTTGAGTGCCATTTCCAGACAGTATTCAAGCAGAGATTTGCCTGGACACACGAAGTTAAAATATAGGTTAGATGGTCGACCGTCTCCTTGTATAGTTTTATTAAATTTGTGTATTTCTAGGGAACATGGTCAAGGTACAATCGATGAAACACGCAGCCGTGATTTCCGCAAGGAATTGGAGGAGCGCGAAAAGCGTTCGGGAGCTCGCCCAGAACATGGCACTAAAAGATTGAAGATTGATCAAGTGCCTGCTGCCAGTTTGGATGCCGACGACCCTTTGGACGAGGAAGATTCAGACTCCTCTGATGACGACGACGATACCGAGGCACTATTGGCCGAATTGAACAAAATCAAGAAAGAGAGAGCCATGGAGATGGCCAAAAAGGAGATTGAAAGGCGACAGGAGGAGGAACGGATTCGAATGGAGAATATTCTTAGTGGAAATCCTTTGTTAAATCATTACTCTGGAGGAACTGGAGGAAAAACTGAGCATAAAGTTAAGAGGAGGTGGGATGATGATGTGGTTTTTAAGAATTGTGCTAAGTCAGAGCCTGAGAAGAAATCAAATGTGTTTATTAATGATTCCTTGAGGTCTGATTTTCATAAGAAGTTTATGGAGAAATATGTTAAATAAGTAAAGTACAATAAGTATAGTAAGTTAATTTTAAGATGCAGTTTTGATATGAGTGAACATTTTAATGTTAAATAATTGCTTAGCAAAAATAAATGTGTTGATTTGGGTCAAATTTAAGCAATTATTTTTATCATTACTTACCTAATTTTAAGACAAATAAAAACTGTATATTTATTAAATTACAAATTAAATTTTTTAGTCTAAAAAAAAGAGTTTTATGAAATAGGTAGGTATTATCTTTGGGTATTTATACTTTTGCATTTTTTATTATGGGTTTAAAGCAGGGTTGGAAGAAACCCAGGTTTTTTAATAAAACCCAACCTGTTGGGCTTTTTTGGGTTTTATAAGTGGGGTTTTGGGTTTTTCAAATTTATACAGATTTTAGTACTAAATATTTTTTTTAAATACTGCCAATAAGAAAAATTCAAATATATTCACTACCTTCTCCTTCACAACTTATTTTTGCAGTCATTTGTCAACTCTTAAATGCATTAATGTATAGATCAACAGGGGAACCCCAAACTTCAAAATTACGTTTTGTTTGGTCAAATGGTTTGATCGTTTTTCAGTTTTAGAGTGTCATGCTTTTGATTAAATGCTAGTTTTTTACATATATAAAAATCCGAGTAAAAATCTAATGTTTTATCTTTATATATAATAAAAAAATTGCAAAAATATCAAAGAGTTAAAGTTTAAGAAAAAAAAACACTTAAAAAAGCCTATGTGCTTTTTTAAGTGGGTTCTACTTACTGGACAGCCAACATTTTATACACAGGGTATGTTTAAAATAAATTTTATTGGAATTCATACTTTAATATCCTCAAGTATTTTAAAAATTTTGTCTAGGTATGCCACAATGTAGGGGGGGTAATTTTAAATATAAAATTTAAAAAAAAATCCGACGAGTAGTTTTTGAGTTAAAATGGTTTAAAAATTAAATATTAATATTATTTGTATAAAATGAAAAAAACCTATTTTATAAAAATGTTTTAATTTAATAGTTAAAATGTGCCATAGTATTTAATAGTTATGATTTAAATGATTCAATTTTTTGAAAAACTGTCAAATATGTTAATTAACTTCAGGTCCCTGCAGATGCATTTTTTATTTTGTTTCCATAATAACCGTTTAGCGCGTTGCCAAGTTTTTATACTTAACATGCCATTGCTTTTGTCCCATTTTCGGTACACCCTGTATATTTCAAATTATTATTATTTTTTATTTTAATCTATTTTGATTTACTTACACATTATTTAAGTGTATACTAGGTTTTTTAAGTGTCGGGAAAAGTTGTGAAAAAAACATGTTTTTCCGGTTTTTCCCAGGACTTGGAAAAATTGTCTTTTTTGGGAAAAATTGGATTTTTTAAGGAAAATATTCACATTTGAAAAAAAGTAGGAATCAACAACTTTACATTATTTTAATTTAAAAAAATATCCTTACAGAAAAAAAATTAAAATTAAACATGAAATTAAATTGATCCAAGAAAATAAACGTAAACGTTAAATACACTGGGTCTTCTTTGCAAAAAGGAGTCCATTGAAAATATCCAATTACAAAATAATGAATAATTTATAAAGTTAAATTACAAAATTATAATCTTATAAATCGAAGTGTTAAATAAAACGAAAGTTATGTTAATACCTACAGCACCGAATATGTTTTGCGACCCGGTGGAGTATTCTTAATGAACTAAAATAGAAGGCATAATTAATATAATCATAAGTATGCGGATAGCATCGGTAAAAATTTGGAAATTTTCAGAAAAATTGACTTTCATTTTTTCGTATAACCCTTTGAATAAATTTTTTTTGAAAATTTTCCAGTTTTTTCGTTTTTTACGGAAAAACGGTTTTTAATGTTTTTTTTAAACCCCAGTATAAAAAAACGGTTTTTCAGATTTGAAAAAAAAACATGAAATAAAACCTAAAAAAACTTTTTTTTTCAAATCCGCTGCAATAAAGCATCTTCTGTCAATAAATAGCATCAATCTTAAAAAATTTAAAATACGAAATTTTGAGCAAAATGTATATTAATAATACATTTTCCATTATTGAAAATTTTGACTGAGACTAAAAAAATTGATTTCTAATATTTTGGTAATTCCCACATAAGAAACCAATAGCAATGTAAAACTTCTTGAAGTCTTTTATACCCCTAAACCAAAACAGGATTATACCTACCCATGATACAAAGATTTAGTTAGAGCGCGGCCCTTATTGGTCAATTCAGTGGTGTGTATATGCGCTATAGCCCTTGACTATATATAATGTAAATATATTTACATTTACTACATGTCAACAATTAGTATAAAATGGACTGGAAACATCAAACAATAGGCAAATGGAACTACACTAAAAAAATTTAAAAGATGAAAAAAAACGGATCGTGTATTCAATTAAAATTCTTAATTTTTCCAAATTATGCAGATTTCTTTTAAAATTATTTTTATTAAGTATTATTTTTTCCAGGTTTTTTAAGATTTAAAAATGTTTTCTCCAATTTCTTATAATTTTTCAAGATAATTTATATTTTTTTCAATCTTTCTTTAATTCTATAATTTTATATCAAAATACTTTCATATGATTTTCCCTAATTTTTTAAAAAGATATCTGTAGGCACATACAATTAATTTAAGCATAACAAAACAACATAAATATTTTTAAAAACAATATTTATTTTAATAATTATGAAATACAAAAAATGCGCACTTGGACCTCGTCTTACCTTCCAGCATCACTACAGGTAGGAAAGTATTACAGTTGTTATATGTATGGTATTACACCAATAGAACAAAATATGATTATTGAAATTAACTATAGATATAGCAAAGGTAAACTTGAGAGCACCTCGTCCACTGGCCAGTGGAGGGAGAAAAACTCGTTTGAAAACTAACAACCTGCCTTCCCTAAATACCATTTCTACCTGTAGACAAGTGTGCAGTGAGCAGTCGTACCCGCATACAAAACATCCAAAGAAATAAAGCAACATTTACGTTTTAATGTTTCAACGTGGGCGTCGCAATTGCTATTAATAATTCGAATTTATTTACTTAACAATACTGGAAAGTGTCTGGTAGTTAACATGAGAGCTGTGTCTGTGATATGTTTGGTAGTTACATTAAAATGTTCCGCAATTTTTTGCACTCCCAAAGCGGCGATTTACGTCGATAATGGTTTTGATCAGACGTCCATCGATCACATTATGTCCTCGCAGGAAAAAGAAGAAATGCAGCTGGAGATTTTGAATCTACTAGGTCTTCCTAATAGGCCTAGAAGAGTTAATAAAGCGCCTCTGAAAAGATCAGCTCCAAAATTTCTTCTGGACATTTATAAAACGTTAATGGAGGAAGAAAATGATGAAAATGGTAGGGCTAAAAGAAGCACAGATACGAGTTTCAGCGGGGAAGAACAAAAACAAATAGATACAAGTGATATGATCATGACATTTGAGAGCATAAGTAAGTCACAGAATTTTTCCTATAATTTATATTTTTTAATTATCTTAAATTTTAATAATCTATTGACCACCACTAATCCCATTTTTTTAGATCACCATGTGAGTTCAGTAAGACATGAAAGAGGTAAAAGACTTTGGTTTAATGTAACTGAAGTACCTATAGCTGAAGATGTGGTGGGAGCAGAATTAAAAATATACCAGAACGAAAAATTATCAAAAAAACACCCTGATACCCAATACACAATTACTGTCTACCAACTTATTAACACAGATAATGGGTAAGCAAAATGCAAACATTTTTTTCCTCAATGACAGAACTACTACAGGGCCTTAAAACTTAAATTACACCTCTTAATTCAAAACATTGTTATGTAAATTTCATAAAACTTAATTTATTGATTTGCAATATTTGCAGGTGTGTTTTAAAAATGTTTACTTTTGCCGGCAGTTAAAATTGTAATCTAACTTTTAAATCAGCTAAAATTAATGAGTCATTTATCAAAAATAGGCACTGCATGTGCACCAAGTGCAAATGCACATACGAATTGCAGAATTATGTCTTAATTGAAATGTACAAAACAAGATATGTAGTTTTATTTGTGTATGGTGTATGTATTTTTTTGACGATTTCACATATTTTTTAAATTTTTTCTATTTATTTGTGCTTTAACTTCCGTAGTATTTTTATTTTCCTACAATAAGCTATGCTTTTATATAAAAGAAAATATTATTATGATCTTTTGAATTATTTGTTTGAGACTAGCAAATTTCTAATTACTTCGTTTTAAAAATAATAATAATAATGTTTTGATGATTTAAAGTTGTAAATTTTCGACACAAACGGTCAGAAACACATTTGTCAATCATGTTAACATCAGCTGCCTTATTTGAATTGTTTCCATGGCAACCTTTTTAATGTGTAATAATTTAGCTTATCAGGCACACAGCGTTGACAAGTTTTTTATACTTAAAATCGACGTTAATGTGCCAGTATTTTTATTTGATTTTTTTATTTATGAATTTTTGTTATTATTTGATGGTCATTATTGTATTTTTATATTGTTATACTCTTGCGATTTTAAAAATTATTGCACTAAATTTATTTCGTTTTTCCGCTTTATAGATTTTTCAGGATTTTTGTAATTATTTTTGTTCCTTTCTTTTGTAATTCCTATTAATAGTTAGAATTTTTAAATGAGTATTACATATTTTTGTTGAAAATTAAATGATATTTCTTTTATATTTTCGATAAATGTGAGAGTTTTAAAGATAATCGCGCGCGCGGAATAATAAAACATTTTGTTATTAAACTTTATATTAAGTATATCCCGTATGGTCTAGTTTTCAATATGACAAGGTTTTTACCCTAAATAATTCATTGGTGTAAATGTTGTAATTTAATTATTTACATAACAAATTAAATGTTTTAAATGTCTCTCAAATAAAAAACTTGGTTAGGTATACCTACCGGAATACTTTTTTTAAAATGAATAATTTGAATTAAAATTTCAGAAAAAAGTGAAATAGTTAAAAGCTTATTTTATTTAATGGGAACACATATTTATAAAAATATTTCAAAAATTGACAGATAAAATTAATATTTTTATGGTAGTCTTAAAAAAACTATAAGTTAAACTTTAGTTGCCATGGCATTATATTATTTATCAAAAAAACTTTTTAGTAGATTAGTTAATTTTCAACAAAAATATGTACTACTCATTTCAAAATCTCAACTATTCTGAAAGTTATTAAACTTTTTATTATTTTATTTTTTACATTAATGTAATTACCTAAATGTAATTTTATATAAATATTTTATACGTATCTATTTAGTTTTTTATTACTATAATATTTTATTTTTTTACATTTTTTGATTTGATTTCTCGACCTAAAATTTGTTTTCCACGATTTTTTTGTGTATAGGTACAAGTATTCTTTTTTGTTTCTTACAAATTTTGCATTTTATGTTTTCTTGGTATTTTCATTTCAATAATTTTTTAGAAATTATTTTTTAGTTATTTTTTGTAAATATTTCCTAAGTTATATGTAATTTTTGAATTTTAAATATATTTTTTTAAATTATTACCTATACTTGGATAATTTGTTTATTTTATTTTATTCCAATTTATTATATTTATCTTTTCCTACTAACGGTTTCCTACAAATTTTCGTTTTCTTGGTATTTTTATTTCATTTATTTCCCACTGTTTTGTTTATTTTCTTATGATTTCTTTACTTTTGCACAAAATATTTTTCTAGGTAAACATTGAAATCCGTTGTCTTTTTTATTTGGCATTAAACATCAAAATTTAAGAAACATTATTTTTTAAATTTTACAAAAAAAAAATTAAATTCATTTTTATTATTTTAGGGAACGCGAACTGGAATACATCTCAGCAGTAAACACCAGCGCAACATTCAACGGTTGGCTCGGTTTAAATCTGACAGAATGTCTAGCATCTTGGGTGGCTTTTCCGGAATCCAATAAAGGTATCTACCTGTCCGTTCACCCCGTAGATAAACCAGGTAAATACATTTACAAATCACTAATTAAGATACATAAAACAATACAAAGAAATTTGCCGAGAAATGCTCCATAAAGTAGCTATTTCCTGTGTAATGGGAATCAGGTATATCTATATATGGGCGATTCCATGATTACTAACAGGACAAAATTTTTATGAATATTTTTGAAAATATATTGTTCCTATAACAATAATTTTATGATAGTTATCATTACTTAACTTTATTGCTGAGAAATATTATAAAAATTATTATTATAAAAATCTTCATAAAACATTTTGTTTTCTTTCTGTTACTAATTAGTAATCATGGAATTGCCCATAAATGGATAATAAGAAAAAAAAACTTTTAATTTATAAAATTATTTTTAGGTCACGAAATTAGGCCTGAAGACATTGGTTTGGTAACAATAAAAGGAGAAGACGAAACTCAGCCATTCATGGTAGTGTTTCTCAAAGCCACAAATCACGTTAAAGCTAGGAAAAGGAGTATCAGGGAGATTTCTAGCCCTAGAAAATTCATGGACAATTTTTATTTGCCAAGAGGTTTATATTTTGTATTTTATAAGGTTTTTATTGAAACAAATATTTTTTTAGATGAGCCTGATAGCAGAAGAGCCTGCCAAATAATGACCCTGTATATCAGTTTTAAGGATTTGCAATGGGCAGTAAGTTTATTTTTAATATCTATTTTTTTACATATTCCTACATTTCGTATTTTTTTTAGGATTGGATTATTGCCCCTGATGGATATGCAGCATATTACTGCGAAGGAGAATGCAAATTCCCCTTGAACGCCCACATGAACGCAACAAATCATGCAATAGTGCAAACTTTACTGCACTTGAACAGCCCCCAAAAATTTCCAAAACCTTGTTGTGCCCCCACAAAATTAGGCAACATATCAGTTTTATACTTTTTAGATGACAAAAATGTAATTCTAAAGAAATACAAAAAAATGGTTGTGAAGAGCTGCGGGTGCCATTAAATTTTTTAAGAATTTAATTTATACATACCTACTAAATTTTGTATATTTGTATATTTTATCATGTTTTAACAATTTTATAGTGTATTTGTCTATTATATAGATTTGCTATGAAATAGGATGTAAATAAATTAGATTGTAAGTTACAAATAAAATTATTTAGTTCTTAATGATGTTTTAATAATTTTATACCCCTAAAAAATCATAACTTTGTTATGTAAAACACAAAAATGTAGTCAAACAGTAAATTTTATTAAAAAACGCATTTTACAAAAAAAATAATGATAAAAACTCACCCAAACTGGATATTTCTTGAAAATATTCAGTCTTAAGCAAAACAAAACATTTTAAACTAATTCTAAAATGACGTTAAAATAACTGCCTATCCGAAACGTCAAAATTAATTTGACATTTCAAAGCACTCGTTTACGATTTTAATCATTTGAATTTGTCGGTTTTTTAAATAAATTTTAAAGGTCCATCGTTATTTATAAATGTAAATACAATAAATACCTAATTAATACATGATCTTAGAAAACAAATAGTTAATAAAACATTTAAATAAATAAAATTGGCGCATTTAAGTTAGTTGATAGGAGGTGGCGCTGCGGCAGCTTTCGATCGATTAGTTCGTTGACATTCCGCAAGTGGCGCCAGTAGACAACGTAGGATTTTCATTATGACAAGTCAGACGAGGTATTTGTCAAAAGTAATAATTTAAACGATAAATAGACGAAATTAGTGTAAAAATGCGCGATAATATTAAGTAGCGACGCGTTAGTATTAAATTAGGCCGAAGATTTTGTTGAAATCAAGTGAAAAATCGTTGTAAACGTTGCGTAGGTTGGGCGATGACATTGTACAGAAAACCAATATTTTTGTGCGAATTAAAGGTGAATGTGGAGTGCTATATCGAAGATTTTCGCGAAAAACACCAGCAGCATTAACGAGCAAAGTGGCGAGAACACGCCAGAGGAAATGGACCGAAGAAAATCCGACATGGATGAAACTTTTGTATCGAGACAGGTAAATTTAACCAACCACTAGTTTGTTAATTGCTGTAATAACACTTCAGATGCTAATTTGCCTCATCAAAGACCGATTTTAGAGCGTTGACTTTGCCACCACACTCATCGCGAAGTATAAACTATGCGTGAATCAGCTGTTGATTGCAAAAATGAGACACCTTTTAAAGCATCTGCATTTATTTAGGGCCAAATGTTCCTTAAAATGCAGCAATATACACCCAAAAGCTATAGAATTTATTAGGGAGTCATCAAATAACAAATAGATATGTCTTCGAAGGCAAAATTTTATTCTTAACATGGTCAATCGAGGGAAGATACAAACCTCAAACTATTGCAATAACGTGTATATTGTCAAACAGGTACGCCTAAATGTTAAATATTATGTTATTATACATCCCACATGTGGTGTTAAGTTATTCTTTTGACATAATACCTATTTATATATACGCTCACGATCTTCATGTTAATAATTTATACAAATTTTTCATAGATTGTCAAAAATTCTTATGGTAATTTCCTATTTTAACCCTGTTTAAATTAATTTGGCAAAATTGTTACATGAAAAATATATAATTTAAGGTTAATGTTATCTTTTGCGTATTGGTTTTTGTCGGTAAAAGTTGTGCACTACTGAACAATTTTGAAAAGTATTTGAACTAGGAAGTTTTTTTAATTCCGCATAAATATTTGTTTATGTTTGCTACAGTTCATAAGCTAAGTAATTGTTGTTATTAAAAACTGTTAATTGATAGTATAGAGTTCAATATATTTCTTAGTGATGTTTGAACTATTTAATTATCCATAATTACTTTTTATTATTAATTAATTAGGCATTTTCTTGCGCACAGAACATAAGGTCTTGCGTGACCGCAACACATTCAAATTTAAACTATTTTTAGTTAATTAGTTTTTCGAAGTTTTCACCTATCTACTTCTTGGTCTCTTAATACTTTATTACTTATTAAAGATTTGTAGTACCATATGAAGAATTGCAACATCATTTGGAATTTGTGGTGAGCCCGTTAATATAATTAAAATATGAGAGAGAACCTGTACTTTTCAACCGTTGATCGACTACGTATTTTAAGAATGTAAATAATCAATTTAATTGATGAAAACGGCCACTTTCACCGCTTTTAAGGCACTAAATGATAGCCCAAGGCTCCACACCAAATTATTAAGAAGTGATCAATCAAAATATGTATGTTTTGATTAAAACAATTTTTGCTACTCTTTGGTTATTTAATGTTCAAAGTTGGACTATTATTACAAATTACAAACAATGTTTACAATAAATTTCGAAAATACCTTGTCGGGGTATTTTTAATTTATTGTTTAAATAACCCAGTTCACCCAATTACTTGAAAATTATGAACGTATGTAACCCCGTTTTTACGTTGCTTTAAACTGATGACCTTGAATCTAGAAGCCTTCTCTCATTGAGAGACTCAAACAAGGAGACGAGTCATTTATATAAAAATGATGAAAATAAATAGAATATAATATTTGTAGATAATTTTTTATATTTGATTATTAATCTGATTACTTAATTCAATTTCTGCTTTGGTGGTCTGGTTGTTAATAAGCATTTTCAGTTCACTATTTGTTAGTCTAGCACATTTATTTATGTACAAGGAAGTTGGCAAGAGGTAGTCTTCCTGTGTATGTAAGAAGAATTTATGAACCAAAATTCATTTAACATTAAAAATTATCCTATTTTTCATGGGTGTTTTGGCAAGATTTGTTCTTAACCAAATAGCCGTTTTTATGAAAACAATTTCCTACTTAATATTATTAAGGTTTAGTTGGAAAAAGTCATGACCTTAAAAAAAAGTAAAAAAAATTAATACACTTTTTGGATGTGCGTGCGGATCGAACAAAATTGGAAAATTGGAAAAAACATTTACCTATTTAATTGAAAACTCCAAATTAAAATTGATGTTTTGGGTAATTGAAAAATGCCCAAATTCCGAGCCAAATTCAAAGAAAATTGGATTATCGAAAATTGCCCTTACATAAAAAATTTAAAAAATGGGTAGGACAATTTCTCAGTTGCATATATATATATATATATTTTAACTACTTACTTACATCTTATTTTATTTATTTGCCTACCTACTAGGTAACATTAAATTATTTGCACTCGGAACAATTTTTTTTAGCTAACCCGAGGTTCCGGGAACCTGGTTCCCCTTTTAAATTTTTTTTTATTGTAAGTACTATAATTTTTGCCATTTTATAAATTTTAAGTTCCTATTTTACTAACTACTACCTACTAACTACTTACCTACTTAGTTAAATTTTGTTTAGCATAGCAACAAAATGTTTTAAATTTGTTTAATTAAATATTAAAATAATATATGAGTACCTTAGATGCAAAACTCGGTTTTTGCAAATTAAAAAATAAAATAAAATTGGCTTTAAATTCTGTTTAGTGTTCGTCCTAGATAAATGGCGTTCATAAAACTTGATACATAATAATATTATATTATATATATTATTATGTATCAAGTTTTATAAACGCCATTTATCTAGGACGAACACCAAACAGAATTTAAAGCCAATTTTTTTTTTTTTTTAAATTTGCAAAAACCGAGTTTTGCATCTAAGGTACTCATATTACCTATTAGGTAGTACATAAATCAAGTTTGATAAACGCCATTTTAGTCACGAATTTAATTTAGGTACGAGCGAGCTTGCGAGCAAGTGCTTAATTAAATGAGTGTCTACAAAAGTTTATAAACTTAATCGAACTTAATATTATCTAAAAAATGATTTAAATTAAATATAAAGCGACATCTATACGAAAATAAAGTAACCATCCCAATAAACACCATTAACATTGTCCGTTATTATTTTAATTAAACGTAACAATTATTGATATATAAATATTAAAATAACTAAAAATACCTATGATTATATTTTAAAATATTTTATCCTTTGTTTTTTTATTACTATAATTGCTAAATATTATCACAAAGTATTCAAAATTCTTACACGGGAAATGTTAAAGGTAGGTACAAAAAGTGTGCAGTTTTTTACAGTAAAAGATAAGAGAATGTTTTATAGGCACTGTACGCAAAATTTTTAACGCTTTATCAGTTAAATCTAGTTAACTCCACTACTACGGCTCTTTTCAAATATTGGCTTCAAGAAACTATTTAATACATTTGTATTGAGATAATAAAATTATGTTTACATTTAGTATTATTTTACAAGAAAGGCACTTTATTTTAACGATTGTATGACATTTGACAACTGTCAACCAACTTAAAACTAACTTCAGCCCGTGACTAAAGTGCCATAAAGCCACAAAGTCAATGGGCATTTAAAAGTTCATTTAGTTTAATATACAATAATGGGCGTTTTATAGAGTATAGAGTTTGTAGATTATACCTTTTCCATATTTCTGTATAATTAATATTTTTTAATTATTTTTTCATCCAGAGTTTTTGTCTACAATTTTCTAAAATTTTCTCCCAAATTATATTTAATAAATAAATATTTTATACAGATTTACTTATCTAATATAAACAATTTTTATCGACGATATATTTTCTATAGGTAAATGATTTATTACCACATCGTCAACAAGTGGGCATTTCAATTAATTTAAACATTTTTTTGCTGCCCTGTACAAAAATTATCCGCACGACTCGTTTCCTATAACTTAAAGAATAACTATCTCGATAGAGTAAAATCTGTGGGCAGCGATCTGGGCCATTTACTTCTCCAGCTCGTTGTGCAGACCTAAGTTACTTAGACTTCCCCACCCAGCGATCAGTCGACAACGACGTTGCACTACGCGGTCATAGAAGTATCGCAGTACGTTTTGAGATTAACAAACGCGAAGTACCTTATGAAAAGTTTTAAGCATACTGAGTGCATTCGTGCGTACCGTACCGGCAAAATTACAAGTCAAAACGAATAGTAATAAATCAAAGATGGATTCGATTTCCGACTTCGTGCTCGAGAAGTATTGTGTTTTCTTGCGTTTGTTGTGTGTTTCTTAAGTGTTTTCGAAGGAATTTAGTGCCATGGTTCTAACAGTGGCCAGTGTCAGTAGTTTTTCCGGGTATGGATACAATAAAAACGATAATCACGGCGGTTTGGGAGTATCTTTGGTAACCTACACTGTAAGTTTTAAATATTTGTACTTAAAATGCTTAGGAATCTTACTTTTATAGTATTAGAACTTTTAGGGAAATAAGGATTCTTGGGATTTGTTTTGGGGAAGAGATTTGCAGTTTAAAACATATTAGGGATCTTGGATATTATTGGAATTAAGAATTTTCAACATTCTTTAAATTGAGGGTTTTAGCAGGTACTTTACTTACTTAAATTTATTTTGTAAAATTTTAACATATTTTTTTGGAGAAAACCAGGGTTTGTAATTATTTTAACAATGGAAAATATTTTTCCGAAAGTTTTGTAAAGGGAATAGGCAGTTTTATAAGCATTTTGTTAATTTCAAAGGTTACAGATTATTTTGTTTATGTTTAACAAATTATTTCGTTGAAAAAGTACCTATAGGTACACGTTACGAATTAAAATAAAGTATGCAGAAACATAAGTTGCAGACGCTGAAGTCAGATAAATGTTTTGATTGACTGCCTGGAATCACGTGTATACACGTGTATACACGTGATTCCAGGCAGTCAATCAAAACATTTATCTGACTTCAGCGTCTGCAACTTATGTTTCTGCATACTTTATTTTAATTCGTAACGTGTTCGTAACAACTATCCAGAGTGTTTATATTACCAGAAATCTGTTAATATTGTTATTCGAATTCCTTATACCTATTCAACGAGTGTGCGAAGTATCCGAAAAAAGGTTTTCAAACTGATATATGGGATACAGTTAAGTGGGTTAAAGTTACGAAATACATCAGTGAGTGTTGTAGTAGTACTGATAATTATATTGTACTAAATTTCTTTATAATTTGATGATTTCAGAATGTTGTGTTTAATTTAATTGGGTGTATGTTATTTTTTT